TTTTAAAAAAATGATTTGACTAGGTAAGGAAACCATTTCCGTGCTTGTTTCTTTTAAATTAAGATGGTTAAAATCAGCATTTTCTTCTGCATAGTAAAGTTTCAAAGCTGTTTTAAGTCAATATTCAGTTGTAAACTTTTGAAAGAACAACTATAGCGTTTTGTTCAGAGTTATGAACAACCTCCATTCATGAATTGCTCATAACTCTGAGCTTCTACTGTAGTCAAGGCCTAGCTGTCTTCATTTCTCTCTCTAGGACCTGCTGAGGACTTCTCTCTTCTTCATCCTTTTTTTTTTTTCTCCCTTCCTCCCTTAATTCAACCCTTAAGAGTACTACTACAAACATTGTCAGTTCTACTTCCAGAATTGAGAAAAAGTATTTGTAATGCTTAAGGATGATTTCCTTGGATATATGGATTAATCTATTTTATGATTTTGTACTGCTGCTCATTGCTGTAGTATCTAAATTCCTTCCACATAAACCCAGAAAGGAAAATATAGACATTGGGAACAAAAGGTTCTAACTTTAAGGTTGATAAGATGTTGGAATAATCTGTCAAGAAAACATTCCCAGATATTTTCTCTAGAGTTGTCAAACTATATAAAACACTTATGGATTTAGTTCAGAGGACAATCTTGAATAAAGATGGACTGTTTATCCACGGGTCCTTTCTCTCCTGTCATCTTATTGTTATTACACTGCTAAATGGTTGCATTATCTCAGTTTATGCCATTACTATCAATCATATTTACATGCTTTGGGAGCTCCAATTTTAATGTGTGGCAAAGGAAACTAAGGTTATTTCAGTACATAAAGCTAAAATTATAGCACTATAAAATGTTTTTTAATCCATGTTTGCAATATTTACAGAGATGCATCCTGGGAACTTGAGGAGAATGCATATCAAGATCTTCTGCAGCGTTACCAACACTGTGACGCTAGAAGATGTCTGTGCAGGAATGGGAGAGACTATAATAAACCTGATAGGTATTAATATACACACACAAATTTTGAAGATCGATATGTTGAACATAATGTGATGGGTATGGTATGTTATAGGAATCTGTCACAGATAGAATGTTGAAGAGTCTTTTAAAAAGTAAATAATGAAAGCTAAGACATTTTCAAATAACTTATCGCAAGCTGGACATATTTATCTTATCAATACTTTACAACATGCATCTTATTTTAAAAAGTGATTGACCAGGAAGACTTAGTGTACCCAGAATATAAAAGCCAAGAGAGTTAGACAACAGGATTTATCTTCCATATTCTACCCCTTCTCCAACACAAATAAAGCAGCAAAAGAGGTAATACCATCATCAGCATCCTTTAAAAATCAAAGAAACATAGCAAACTATTAAGACAAATTATTTTATATTAATGCTTAGCTGCTAAAATATCAAGTGAATTAGAATATCTAAAATAGGTATTTTTGAAAGTACCTGGCTAAAGTATTGGACATGTCTCAAAATTGACCAGTTCTAGTTGATCCATCTGCCTGGTTAGAAAGTTTATGAGAAACAACCAGCTGTTGGGATTTTTATTAAATAGGGGGAACCTATGCTTCTTACTGTCCTTTGTCTCCTTCCTCTCACTTTACAAGTATGCTCTGAACTTTCCCAAAACCTTACTTTGATCTCATTTCTTTCCTTCCCTGCACCTCTAAACTCATTGAATAGCCATTTACAATGGCTGTTATGAATCCTCCTCCAATTTCCAAACAAGCTTCAATCCTCTCCAGTCTACTGAAACCAATGACAATAAGATCTCTAATGACCTCTTCCAGCTCAGATCTCAGGCCCTTCATTTTGTCCATCCTTCTTGACCTGCTTGCTGTTTTCAGCACTGTTGATCATCTTCCTTCTTGACATCTTTTCCTCCACTGGGTTTGCAAAATACTCTCCTCTCCTAGTTCTCTTTCTACCCCTGACCATTTTTTCAATATCTATTTCAATGGGTTTTCCTTCTCCTTTCCCCCTGGATATCCCCAGGAATCCTTCCTCTTCTTTCTTCTCTTTGCTTTACACTTTTTCTTTACACTTTACACTTTTATCTTCTCTTTGATGTCTCATCTTCAGTTCTAACTTAACATCCCTAAAATTGAACTCCATATCTTCCCTCCCAAGTCCTCTCCAATTCACCTTGTCTCCATCATTGTCAACAATATCCAAGCTTCCTTGTCATCACCTTCAAATTCCTGCACTGGTTTTCATCACCAACCGTATCCCTTTTGCTTTGCCTTATTTTGTCTCCTTGTTGGCTTTTTTCATAAACGTCTCAGTGTTCTCTTTCACAGTTCCCATCAGTATGGAACTTTCTGAGCTCATCAACAAGGCCCCTATCCTCCCCACATTTAAGTCCCTCTTGAAAGCCATTTCTGTTGTACTGCCTATCAGAAATCTAGCTGGCTTAAATTGACAAGATTATAAAGTTGTGGCCAAACACCATGATGGCCCATTCTAATTATGTGTACTCTGCCTCATAATTGTCTTAGTTGGTGAGCTCCATTGAGCAGGGATCATGCCTTTTTGCTTTCTGTCTGGAAAGCATCTAGCACATTGTTGGCACTACTGCAAACACATACATAATATAAAGATCTAGGCAAATACTTCAAAAAATGTTTAAATGTCTCTTACAGAACAGTCCCAGCTTTTGGAAAGTGGTGAGGTAATCAGATACTGTATCAGACAAAATACAATTTGGAAAAAACAGCCAGGGGACTTTGAAAAAGCTGGGCTGTGGATCCCACAAAGTAGTGAAGGGGAAAGTAACTGGCTGTGCAAATTGGTTGGCTTAAAAAAGGATACACTAACTGCTCCATAGCCTCTTTAAAACTGGATATTCTGCAAAGCTGACTAGGATTCTAATCACTGCATCCTGATGTAGGTCTGGCTATGCTACACAGTTAGGTCGACGTAAGCTAGGTCTGCCTTACGTCGGCCTAATTTTGTCAGTGTCTACACTAGAGCCTTGTCCCGCCAATGTAAGTGCCCTACTACTCTGATACAATAACTCCACCTCCACGAGTGAAATAGGGCTTATGACGGTGTAGTTAGGGCGACACATCTGTGTAGATATTGTGTTACTTTCATCGGCTGTGTTGCTTATGTTAGCTGTGAAATTGACAAGAAAGCCAGGCAGCTAGAGCCCAAGTGCCGCCCACTTCCGGAGAGCTGTGGACAACTGGATCCCACCCCCCGGTTGGGAGCCGGAGTAAGAAGCCTGGGCAGCTGGACCCCGCTCCTGGCAGGGAATTGGGAAGCGATAAGCCCTGGGAGGCTCCCTCCCAACTCCCCACCTGGGAATGTTGGCTGTCTTGTCAATTTACAAGGCTTCCTGGTGTGGGGTGGGGACCAAGAAACCGGGCAGCTGGAACTCGCTTCCCTGGGGCGAGAAGCACTGGGCGACTCTGTCCTCCCGCCCCCCCAGTGGGGAACGCGGAGACAAGAAGCCCTGCGCGGCTTCCTCTGTTCCCAGCAGCTAACGAGTAGTCGGAGGGGGAGCACAGCCCACCGGGATTCTGTGGGGCAGCTGGGCTCCTGGCAGGGAGCTGCCAGCGGAGCTGAGAGACTGGGCTCACAGCTCCCCACACTGACCCTCTTAGGTCAGTGGAAGTGCTCCTGTGATGGCTGTAAGATGACCTAATATAGGTTAACTTGAATTTTTAGTGTGAATTGGGAGTGCCCTCTCTTTGAAAGAGGATACTGTACATCCCAAGGGGCTAACTATATATCATTTATCTAGAGTCTGGTAAATAATAAGGGATTTGTGGCTAGGTAGGTGGATTGGATTTACTGCCTAACAGCCTTTGGTTTTTTTCTTCTGTTGTTCCTCTGTTAATTCTAAGTATAGTGTGTTTTTTCTTTTAGTAAATGGGAAATCAAATGCTGTCAGTGTTGTGGTTCCCGTGGAACGCATTTGGCCTGTTCCCCAATACAGTCATGGGAGGAAAACTGGGAATGTATAGAATGCAGAAGTATCTTCGCTAAGTCAGGTAATATTATGAAATGATGGGAAATAGTTTGACATTTGGTTTTTCTAGGGCTGTCAAGCAATTAAAAAAATTTAATCGTGATTAATCGCACTGTTAAACAATAATAGAATACCATTTATTTAAATATTTGTGGATGTTTTCTACATTTTCAAATATATTGATTTCAATTACAACACAGAATACAAAGTGTACAGTGCTCACTTTATATTTATTTTTGATTACAAATATTTGCACTGTAAAAAGCAAAAGAAATAGTATATTTCAATTCACCTACTACAAGTACTGTAGTGCAATCTCTTTATCATGAAAGTTGAACATACAAATGTAGAATTATGTACAAAAAATAACTGCATTCAAAAATAAAACAATGTAAAACTTTAGAACCTACAAGTCCACTCAGTCCTACTTCAGCCAATCGCTCAGACAAACAAGTTTGGTTACAATTTGGGGATAATGCTGCCCACGTCTTGTTTACAACGTCACCTGAAAGTGAGAACAGGCATTCGTATGGCACTGTTGTAGCCAGCGTTGCAAGGTATTTACATGCCAGATATGCTAAACATTCATATGCCCCTTCATGCTTCAACCACTATCCAAAGCCGAGCGGACTGACACATGTTCATTTTTTATCATCTGAGTCAGATGCCACCAGCAGAAGGTTGATTTTCTTTTTTGGTGGTTTGGTTTCTGTAGTTTCCGCATTGGAGTGTTGCTCTTTTAAGACATCTGAAAGCATGCTCCACACCTTATCCCTCTCAGATTTTGGAAGGCACTTCAGATTCTTAAACCTTGGGTCAAGTGCTGTATCTATCCTTAGAAATCTCACATTGGTACCTTCTTTGCGTTTTGTCAAATCTGCTGCAAAAGTGTTCTTAAAACGAACCTGTGCTGGGTCATCATCCGAGACTGCTATAACATGAAATATATGGCATAATGTGGGTAAAACAGAACAGAGACATACAGTTCTCCCCCAAGGAGTTCAGTCACAAATTTAATTAATGCGTTATTTTTTTAACGAGCATTATCAGCATGGAAGCATGTCCTCTGGAATGGTGGCCGAAGCAAGAAGGGGCATATGAATGTTTAGCATATCTGGCACGTAAATACCTTGCAACACCAACTACAGAAGTGCCATGCAAACGGCTGTTCTCGCTTTCAGGTGACGTAAATAAGAAGCAGTCAGCAGTATCTCCTGTAAATGTAAACAAACTTGTTTGTCTTAGCAATTGGCTGAACAAGAAGTAGGACTGAATGGACTTGTAGGCTCTAAAGTTTTACACTGTTTTGTTTTTGAGTGCAATTATGTAGAAAAAAACCCTCCTCATTTATAAATTACACTTTCACGATAAAGAGATTGCACTACAGTACTTGTATGAGGTGAATTGAAAAATACTATTTCTTTTGTTTATCATTTTTACTGTGCAAATATTTGTAATAAAATATAATAATATAAAGTGAGCACTGTACACTTTGTATTTTCTGTGTTGTAATAAAAATCAATATATTTGAAAATATAGAAAAAATCCAAAAATATTTTATAAATTTCAATTGGTATTCTATTGTTTAACAGGCGATTAATCGCAGTTAATTTTTTTAATAATATTTAATTTTTTTAAGTTAATTGCATGAGTTAACTGCGATTAATCAACAGCCCTAGTTTTTTTAATATTTGTTTTGGGTTAACTTGACACCAGTATATTTTTTCAGAAGAATAATAAGGATTTAATTGTACAGGGAATTACCAAAATCAGAAAAAACGCTCGTTGGCTACCTCAGAAAAAATAGATGTTACTGGTCGTTTGTTGGAAGAGCCCTCTCCCAAGTGCCCCAGACAGTCACCAGGATCCCAGCACGGCTTTCTTCTCAGGTGTGTAATTTTGCACGGGGAGGAAACAACTGCTTGAAAAAATACAGAAGGAATTATGATATGAAATGGAAGAAAATATTTGTTTTATGAAATTTAGAATAAGAGAACACACACTTATTTTCATCCTGCAGCAAATACTTCGTTTATTGAATTGCAGAACTAGGCATCCAGCATCCATATTTATGAGTGAAGTAGTCACTTGTGGTACATGTTTCATGAGTTGTCCATAAACTTCTAGTATTAACTCATTAACCAGAGACGGCTATGCAAACCAGTCTATCGAATTAATAATCCTTCAGTTGAGCACTAAATTATGTCCCCTTACAAAAGCAATATTAAAAGAAACTTGAATATTTAAAGTTAGGACATTTTTAACTTATCAGTATTTCACATTAATTTTAATAATGCAGTGGAAAATTAGCTCTTAAAATGTATACAGAATTTCTTTTCTCTAGTAATAAAGTATATATTGAAGTTTTAATATGTTGTAGTTCAGTTGTGAAATTAAAATAAATGCAACTGATAAGGTTCTCATAGCAATTGAAATATTAATTTATAAGGGCTTGCAGTTCAAAAATATGAGTCTGCTTGTATTACTCTTGTATTTATAAACTGCTTTAATTTACTTTTGAGGCAATTCCTAGAATTTCTTGCCTGCAGTATCTCGTGATACTTTGTCTGTTTATCATCTGAACTGTTAATGAAAGCATTTATAAATATCAGAAAGACGGGCTGAAGGACTAATTATTTTTCTTTGAGTATGTGTCCGTGTGGATCCCACTGTAGGTGCATATGTGCCTTGTGCGCAAGATCAGATTCTTTTGAACAGCAGTGTCCGTCAGGGTCACCTATATGTCCTATGCTGCCTCCTGCTCTCATTCCAGGGTATAAAGGGCAAAGCGGCCATAACTCTTCCCCAGTTTCCTCTTACCGCCCGTGATAATGAGACGAAACCTAGGAAGTGTCCAACCCACTGCTTTCTTGAGAGCTTCAAAACCTGTGTGTTTCACAAAAATTACTGAAAAACTTTGTCTTCACCTTTTTGAACTGGAGTCTTTTTTTTGTTTGTTTTTTAAAAATGTTGTCAAGTCCCTTGTACAGCATCAACTGCCCCACCTCATGGTCACCCCAAAAGAAAAGGACCCAGAAAATAAGGATCTTGTTGGTCTTAACTTAAGGTATATTCCTCTCACTTACTATAGCTCTGCATTAATTGCCAGGCCATGTTTGCAAAATATAACTTCCTTACCTGGGGGAGAGTCACCTCTTCCTCTCCAAAATGCCACAGGAAAATAGGGAAGAACCGAAGGAGATCATAAGAGGGCCAAAGGGCAGCCAGAACAGCTCTATAAGCAGTCATCTGACATGACCACAAGGGCAATGGATATGGCCATTGTCATGAAGAGGTCTTTGTGGCTGTTAGCATTAGGCTTCCCACAAGCGTTGCATGCCACCATAGAGGACCCTTTGACATGATGGAGCTTTTTAGCAATAGATGAAACACTCCATTAACTGAAAGACTCACAGGCCACACTGTGATCCTTTTGGATATGTACACCAGCTCCTTACCAAAAGCTGCACAACTGATGGCAGAGGATGCTGTTTTACACCCAGAGCATCTGAGTGCTGAGGAAAAGACCTCAATACTCTAGAGAGTCCCATCGTTGTCATCTGCCATTGTTCATCTAGTACCATTTACAGCAGGAGTCGGCATCCTATGGCACGCGTGCCAAAGACGGCACGCGAGCCGATTTTTAATGGCATGCTGCTGCCTGCCAGGGTCCCGCTCAGCCCGCAGCCGAACCCCGGCAGCAGGCTGAGTTGGACCCCGGCAGGCAGCAGCGTGCCATTAAAAATCCTGCCTGACCCAGCCCGCTCTTCTCTGCCCCCCGCCTACTGCTCTCTCTGGCGGGATAGGGGGCAGAAGCAAGCTTGGTCCTGCCAGCTGTTGCTGTACGGCAGGCTCCGCCAGCAGCCAAGCTTCCCCCATCCCCCGCCTCTTCCCCCAGCGTGCTGTGTTGAACCCTGCCTCCTCTCCCTCCCTGCCGCCGATGGCCCTTGTGAGGGAGGGGAGAAGAGCAGGCCCAGCGCCCTCGCTGCTCAGACCGCTAAGGAGGCGGAGAAGAGGCAAGGGGAAGGGGCGGGGCGTATCCCTCCAGCCCCCTGCCGTGAGTCGCTCAGGGGGCAGGGGGCTGGAGCACTCTCCTGATCTCAGCCCAACCCCCCAGCCCTCTGCCCTGACCCCTGCACCTCCCTTGCACCTCAGCCCCCTGCATCCCCCCCATGACCTGATTCCTGCACCCTCCACACATACCCAGCCCCCTCACACCCCATGCCCTGACTCCTGCACCCCCTCACGCCCTCAGCCCTCTGCCCTGACCCCTTCACCCTCCACACATACCCAGCTCCCCCAAGCTCCCTGCCCTGACTTTTGCACCCCCCACATCCCCACCCCCCAGCCTGAGCACCAGGTTGGCAGCATTTTAATTTAATTTTAAATGAAGCTTCTTAAACATTTTGTAAACCTTGTTTACTTTACATACAACAGTAGTTTAGTTATATTATATATAGACTTATAGAGAGAGAGACCTTCTAAAAAACGTTAAAATGTATTACTGGCACGCGAAACCTCAAATTAGAGTGAATAAATGAAGACTTGGCACACCACTTCTGAAAGGTTGCCGACCCCTGATTTACAGAGTCAGTATGTTTGATGGGAGTGTCAGGAGCCACATCAGAGCTGGTGAAAAGCCTGTCTCTGTCTTTGGACATTTTGCCCCTTTCCACCAGGCGTGGTTACTATCACAACAGACAAGTGGGTGTTGAGTGTCATCTTCCACAGTTGCTTTGTTCATTTCCACACCCAAACTACTTCCCAGTTCCTCTTCAGGGACCCTTCTCCTGAGAGCCCATTACAAAAAGAAGTGGTCTTGTTGTTTTGTCTAGGAGGCATAGAGGAGATACCTCAAGAGGACAGAGGAGAGATGTCCGCTCCCAGTATTTCTTTATCCCAAAAAAGAAAGGGAGAAGTGGGGTATCTTTATCCTATCTTAGACCTGAAGAGACTGAACAAATACTTATGCCATCTGAAAATCAGGGCAGTAGGTAAATATACCTAGACCAGTGGTTCTCAAACTATGGGTCAGGACCCCACAGTGGGTCACAGCCAGGGCGAGCATTAGACTTGTTGGGGCTTGGGGCTGAAGTCTGAGCTCCACCCCCACCCCGGGGCGACAGGGCTTGGGCTGCAGCCCCCTCTCCCCCCGTGTCCTAACTTCCCTTTAAGCTGTGCAGCTGTCTATTAAGCGTTGTGAAGGCGCTCAGGGCTGTGACAGGGAGAGATGCCTCGTCCCAAGCTCCGGACCCAACCCAGCCCAGCCATGGACTTGCTGCAGCCGGGGGAAAGGTGCCCGGGCCCCAGCCCAGCCCACTGCCGAACCTGCCGCAGCCGGGGGATAGGTACTCTTACCCTGGCCCTGATCCAACCCAGCGCCAAACCTGCCATGGCCAGGGGACAGGCGCCTCTCCCCCGCCCCAGCCCAGCACCAGACCTGCCGCCGCTGGGGGACAGGCGCCTCTCCCCCATCCCAAACCCAGCCCAGCCTGGACCTGCTGCAGTTGGGAGAGGCGCCTTTCCCACCCCCAGCCCAGGTGCTTTTGCAGGGAGACAGTGCTGGGGGTGGGGAGTCCTCTCTCCCCACCATAGCCCTGGGAAGCCCCACTGCACTCGAAACCCCTCATCCCCAGCCCCACCCCAGAGCCCTCACCTCCTCCGTACCCCAACCCTCTGCTCCAGCCCGGGGCCCCTCATCCCCAGCCCTAGCCCAGAGCCCACACTCCCAGCTGGAGCCGTCACCCCGCACCCCAACCCTCTGCCCCAGCCCTGAACCCCCTCCCACACTCCAAACTCGTCGGCCCCTCCCCGCCACATGAATTTTGTTATGTGCACCAATATGGAGGTGATGTGTCACACATCACCTCCATATTAAGAACAGGAGTACTTGTGGCACCTTAGAGACTAACAAATTTATTAGAGCATAAGCTTTCGTGGGCTACAGCCCACTTCTTCGGATGCATATAGAGTGAAACATATTGAGGAGATATATATACACACATACAGAGAGCATGAACAGGTGGGAGTTGTCTTACCAACTCTGAGAGGCCAATTAAGTAAGTGAAAAAAACTTCTGAAGTGATAATCAAGATAGCTCAGTACAGCCAGTTTGATAAGAAGTGTGAGAATACTTACAAGGGGAGATAGATTCAATGTTTGTAATGGCTCAGCCATTCCCAGTCCTTATAGTCCTTATCGTATCTAGTTTGCATATCAATTCCAGCTCAGCAGTCTCTCGTTGGAGTCTGTTTTTGAAGTTTTTCTGTTGTAAGATAGCCACCTGTCATTGAATGACCAGACAGGTTAAAGTGTTCTCCCACTGGTTTTGAGTATTATGATTCCTGATGTCAGATTTGTGTCCATTAATTCTTTTGCGTAGAGACTGTCCGGTTTGGCCAGTGTACATGGCAGAGGGGCATTGCTGGCACATGATGGCATATATCACATTGGTAGATGTGCAGGTGAACGAGCCCCTGATGGTATGGCTGATGTGATTAGGCCCTGTGATGATGTCACTTGAATAGATATGTGGACAGAGTTGGCATCGGGCTTTGTTACAAGGATAGGTTCCTGGGTCAGTGTTTTTGTTCAGTGATGTGTGGTTGCTGGTGAGTATTTGCTTTAGGTTGGGAGGTTGTCTGTAAGCGAGGACAGGTCTGTCTCCCAAGATCTGTGAGAGTAAAGGATCATCTTTTAGGATAGGTTGTAGATCTCTGATGATGTGCTGGAGAGGTTTTAGTTGGGGGCTGAAGGTGACAGCTAGTGGTGTTCTGTTATTTTCTTTGTTGGCCCTGTCTTGTAGGAGGTGACTTCTGGGTACTCGTCTGGCTCTGTCAATCTGTTTTTTCACTTCAGCAGGTGGGTATTGTAGTTTTAAGAATGCTTGATAGAGATCTTGTAGGTGCTTGTCTCTATCTGAGGGATTGGAGCAAATGCGGTTATATCTTAGAGCTTGGCTGTAGACAATGGATCGTGTGGTGTGTCCTGGATGGAAGCTGGAGGCATGTAGGTAAGTGTAGCGGTCAGTAGGTTTCCGGTATAGGGTGGTATTTATGTGACCATCGCTTATTAGCACAGTAGTGTCCAGGAAATGGACCGCTTGTGTGGATTGATCTAGGCTGAGGTTGATGGTGGGATGGAAATTATTGAAATCATGGTGGAATTCCTCAAGGGCTTCTTTTCCATGGGTCCAGATGATGAAGATGTCATCAATATAGCGCAAGTAGAGTAGGGGCGTTAGGGGACGAGAGCTAAGGAAGCGTTGTTCTAAGTCAGCCATAAAAATGTTGGCATACTGTGGGGCCATGCGGGTACTCATAGCAGTGCCGCTGACTTGAAGGTATATATTGTCCCCAAATGTGAAATAGTTGTGGGTGAGCAAAATTTATTCTGCACATGGATGGGAAATATTAGAGGGAACACTGACTGGGTCATGTAGTAACTTTTTTGTCAGAAGGGGGTCGTGGTGCCACTAAGTTTGAGAAGCCCTGACCTAGACCATCCCTAACAGGTGTTTGTCTAACCTTGTCTTAAAACTCTCCAATGACACGGATACCATAGCATCCCTTGGAAGCCTATTCCAGTGCTGAACTATCCTTATAGTTAGAAAGTTTTTCCTAATATCTAACCTAAATCTCCCTTCCTGCCGCTTAAGTCCATTACTTCTTGTCTTTCCTTCAGTGGACATGGAAAACAATTGACAATTCTGAAGACTGTTATCCTGTCCTCCCTCAGTCTTCTTTTTGCAAGACTAAACATACCTCGTTTTTTTTAACCTTTCCGGATAAGTCAGGGATTCTAAATCTTTTAGCATTTTTTGTTGTTCCCCTCTGGAGTCTCTCCAGTTTGTCTGTATCTTGCTTAAAGATACTTAAATATTTCCTTTGTTTAATAAATCAGTTAGTTTTAAATGCAAGACATGTTTTGATAAACTTTTTTCTTCTGTATCCAGCACACTTAAGGCAATTTTATTTTTTGTGTGTTTAATTAAATTTGAATTTCCATCTAAATAGAATTTGACACAAATTACTAGTAAATTAATAATTTAGTACATAAGAAATGCATCATTCACCATTTTCTAACATCATAAAAATGTAAAAATTAAGAACCTAAATAAATAAAAAAAGTTAAAATATAAGAATCCAAATAAAGTTAAATTAAACTATATACGTAAATATAGATACATTGTATCCTCCTGGTTTGCAGAAAGAAGTACCAGATTTAGTGCAAAGATTATATTTAGTTGAAAATAACATGTTTTAATGGTTACCAAGCTTTCTTTGGGAAAATAACTGAAAAGTACAAATGTAAAACATAATTTAAATGAATAATTTAAATTAAGATTTCCTGCTTGCTGATTTAAATCACGATTTAAAATGGTGATTTTAATTTGCTTTGATTTAAATCAATCCTACATGTGGGAAGCCCACCTGGATCACCTACAAATGCAAGGGACCAAGTCCCCAGAATATGTTACTTCACATAAATGTCCTGGAATTCAGAGCCATCAGGCTAGCCTGTATGGGATCCCTACCTGTCCTCTGAAAAGCCGCAGTCTAGTTTTTGACAGGCATGTCCATGATGCACTCACTAACCAAGCAGGGAGGCCATTAAACTCTGGAATAGGTATCACCAGCTCAGGTAACTTTGGAACTTCACCTCCCTAGAATCAGCAGCAACCTGGCAGACTACTTGAGCAGACAATCCAAGACCAGTCACGAGTAGTCACTGCAGAGGTCCATCATAGAGCCGATATTTCATCGATGGGCAAGGGTGTCTGTGTGATAGATCTGTTTGCAACCAAAGACAATGCCAAGTATCAGGACTTCTGTTCCAGAGGGGGCATGAACTTGGGATCGCTACCAGATGACTTCTTAATTCCACTGCAAAATGGCCTCCTGTATGCTTTCCTGCTTATTCCCCTGATCCCCAAGATGGTTCCCAAAGTCAGATGAGACACACCATGTCATCCTCATAGTTTCTGCTTGCTGAGGCAGTTTAGGGTGATGGACTTGCTGCAGATGTCCATTCAGCTGCTTGTTCAACTCCTAACTGCTCAGACCTGATTTCCACAGCACCACAGTCAGATACCCTATCCAGATGCAACATCCCTGCATCTCGCAGTCTAGATGTTAGCTGGTTGAGTGCCATGGACAAGGACTGATACAGAACTGGAAGATATCCACTGGACAGATTTTATCATTAAAATGGAAGTGTATCTCCATATGGGTGGCCCAAAATAACCTGGACCCTACACAGGCTTCGGTACCAAAGACCCTTGACTACTTGCTGCATCTGAAACATTTGACCTTTCATTCAGCTCCATTAAGGTCCACCTTACAGTGATCTCAGTGTGCCATCCTCCTGTCCTATTATGCTCCATCGTCTCCCACCTAATGGTATCAGAGTTTCTCAATGGTCTGTTACATACTTACCCACCGATCAGAGAAACTGCTCCTGCCTGGGACCTCAATATTGTCCTCTTGAGACTTAGGGCCTCCCTTTGAGCACCTTTGAGAATGCTTCATACTTCATCTCACTCTGAAGACTGTTTTCTAGTTGCTCTTACTAGTATGAAAATGAGCGAGCTCCAAGTATTTATGGCTGACCTTCCTTCCCTTCATAACATTTCATAGGACAAAGTGGTGGTGAAACCTTACTCCAAGTGCATCCCAAGGTGGTTTCAGATTTCCATCTGTACCAACCTATTATCAAAGCCCAACACTACATCAGGGGGAATTTACCTATGCGGGGTATCTCCAGAGCTTAACTTTACCCATTGACAGAACCAAACTGTTTAGGCCATCTCCCTGGTTGTTTCTGGCTGTAACCAACCATTCCAAAGGCCAAGCCATCTCATCACAAAGAGTATCTAAGTGGATAACACAATGTATCTTGCTGTGTTACCAGTTGGGTGATGTACCACTTCCACTGAACAAGAATGCTCACTGCATCAGAACTCAAGCGTCATTCTCTGCCAGCTTCAGAAATGAGCCAGTTTTTGAGATCCACAAGGCACCCATTATGTTTTGTGAAGCAGTGTGCACTGGACTTAGCTGTCAGGGCAGATGCCATGTTTATTAGAACAGAACTACAATTTGTTTGACTGATGCAGCTGATACTTCTCATCCCACCATCCAGAGGGGTTCTGCTTGCCAGATACCTACCGTGGGATCCACACTGACATATACACGAAGAAGGGAGAATGGTTACTTACCCTACAGTAATTATGGGGGGGTTTTTTAAATGTTGTCGTCAGTGTGGGCTCTCACAACCTGCACTCTGTCCCCAGTTTATGAGCCACACCTAATGTGGGCTTTGAATCGTGAGGGAACTGAGGGAGGATTACAGTTGCTCTGCCCTTTATGCCCTAACAAGTCCAGGAGCATGATAAGGCACAGGGTGCGTGCACTGCCCAAAGAAACACCACTATTTTAAAGAATCTGATACGGCACACATGAGGTGCATGTGCACCTACAGTGGGACTCACACTGATATCTCAAAGAACCCGAGTTACTGTAAGATAAGTAACTGTTATTTATCATGGGTGTATTAACACACCTACTGTAGTTAAGGTTAAGATACATTTTTGAAGGCTGCCATGGGACTGTTGCCCTCATTCCATATGTACTAGTCAGCTGGCATTCCTTCCCTTGGTTTCTGCAGTATGTAGCAGGAGATGGCAGTGCAATTTATCACCTATGAACTGCATACTCTGGAAAGTTGAAGTTTCAGTGCTAGGGGTCTCAAAAGCCAGAAAACTTTACTTTTTTTATTTTATTTTACTTTATTTTTATTTTGAGGGTACATGCAAGTTTAACTGTCCCTCTGGGGCATATAAGAGATTAAATAACTGATGACTGTTGTGCACAGAAATTGTACATGCAGCATTCCACTTTCTTTCCTAGTTCTTGAGTGCTTAATTTTGCAAACTTAACATTGCTTTAATTTTTTTTGCATGTAAATATAGGAATTTTGCCATCTTTGGAGCTAAACAAAACCAGAATATGAGTAACTCTAGAAGACTTAACTGGAACTTACAACATTACTTAGTAATTAAAAGGCGAGATAAAAATTGCAGCAAGTTATTTCAGTAGTGTGTATTGAGCTGGTGCCAACTAATATCAGCACTGGATCATACAATGCAGTCTACCTATGGGAGTAACATAACATAACATCAGTACTTAATGGTTCTCAAGGATTCTCAAATTTCAGTTTGTCCTATATGAGATATAACACTGTAGAAAACCATAGAACCACTATGCACTGAAAAAATGAAGGTTACAATATTTCCAGAGACAGAATTTATTCCATTTTCTAGTGCTGAACGGTGGTGGTAATGTCAGCATTTCTAGGGTTCAGCAACTATTCGATTATGTAAAAGAGAGGTGGGTCTGAGGAATGCAAGGTAAATTATTGATGACAAAATTTACTTCAGTGTCTTCTAGTCGTTGGGGCAATCATTTATATGTTGAAAATTGTGTATAGAAACAAATTGATTCTATGGCTTTATAGTAACGTAGGGTTCTTTAAATCACACTTGTGGTAAACAGATGTACTGTTACTTTCAAATGAATGTTTACATAAAGTTCAGAATGAGAAATTAATTTAGTAATAGCTTTTCCCTTTCCAGGTCACCAAAGATGTTATACAAGGAGTCAAGCTGTTCTGGCACATTATTAGACCTTCCAGCATCTAATAAGATGGTTATGTCCATATCCCCACTGATCAATTCTTCTTCAAGGAATCTATCAGTAAGAAGAATGTAAGTTAATATTTCTTTCATATTGAACAAGGCTCTCTAGATCAGGGGTAGTCAATTATTTTTTTATCAAGGCCCAAATTTCTTTGTCAAGGTCCATACTCCAGAGAAACGTGTTTCACCCTGCAATAACAATCATAATAAGTAAATAAAAAGTGTTATTGTTCTATTCAAAAGCATCTGTCGGTCCAGGTCTGCTCTAGATTGTATAAAATGAAATGTATTTCCTCCAGGATCTATACATTGAAAGTGCAAAATAGAATGCTTAACCTAAGAACTTGCTGAAAATCCTGATTTATGAAATTCTTCTTCGAGTGCTTGCTCATGTTGATTCCATTCTAGGTGTGTGCGTGCCCACAGGCACAGTTGTCGGAGACTTTTGCCTTAGCAGTATCCATAGGGCTGGTTGTGGCGCCCTCTGAAGTGCCACACTTATGCTGCAATATATCAGGCGCCGCTGGCCCTACGTCCTCTCAGTTCCTTTTTACTGCCTATGACGGTTGGTTGGAGCGCCTAGTCTTGCTTAGCAAGAGCATTAGCGGTTCTTCACTGTTCAGGTTGTTCTCCTTTGTTATTTAGTCAGTGATTAGTTAGCTGTTAAGTGTTTTAGTAGTTAGAGCCCAGGCTGGGACTTTGTCCTGGACCGGGGCATACCCCGCTCCCCAGTCTTCAAGACATGTTCTGAGTGCAGCCGGCCGATGCCCATCAGCAACCTGCACGAGAGTTGTCTGAAGTGCCTGGGGGAGTCCCATAGAAAAGACAAGTGCCGGATCTGCAAAATCTTTCATCCCTGAACTCAAAAAGAGTGGGACATTCGATTAAGGGCCTTTGTCATGGAGGCTGCTCTGCACCCGGCATCAGAGCCCTCGCACTCGGACTCCACGCCTGGTACTTCGGCATTGGCACGCAGTGCACCACCAGCACCAGCTTCTGCCCGGCACCAAAGAAGCAGTGGAAGTCGTCTGGTCCGCAGGCACCGTGCAAGGGAACATCGGGAAGAGGACCTGAGTTAGGTGCCCTGCCTGCAACAAAGGATCTCGGGGGTATCGCTGTGGTCAGACCCCCTAGCCCAGCCAGGGACCTGCCTCCTACTCAAGGGAGCGGTAGGGGGGTCCTGGCCCATTGCAGGGCCATCTGCGCCCGAGGTGGGCCCAGTGGCCAAAGAACAGTTAGGCTGACCAGCACCGCAGATGTCTGGCCACATGGCAGATGCCGCCAAGAGACCGGCTCAGATGACCAAGCTGGTGATGGAACCACCCCTAAAGGCAGTGGAATGCCCCCCGGACTGCAGGCGTCGTTCCCCTTCGCCACAGCCAAGGACCCCAGTACCGCAACCCCGGTTTCCGGCCAGGAGGCCCAGATCTCTGACACCATGGTTTCCGCCTATGAGATGCAGAAAACCAGAGTCGCAACGCTGATCCCCATATTCTCGGTACCGACAATCCTCCCGTCAGAGATCACCTCAACTCCACTCAGGCCAGAGCCTTCCTCCCCGAGATTCGGTACCGAGCCATGGTGGACCTCATCTCGTCTCTGCGTGCCCATCTGTTCACCACCACCCACATGTGCCTGAGCCTGCTGGGTCATATCATAGCATGCATTTACATGGTTCGGCATGCGCGACTCCGCCTCAGGCCTCGACAGGCGTGGCTGGCATACGTCTATGTATCCAATCGGCACAGTATAGACCGGGTGCTCAGGATTCCGGATAGTGTGCTGTCGTCCTTTACCTGGTGGCAAGATCTCATGTCGGTGCTGGAGGGAGTCCCATTCGCAGGCCCGATCTCGTCAGTGATGCTCATCTCCAACACTTTGGACCTGGGTTGAGGAGCCCATCTGGGCGATCTCAGTGCTCAGGACCAGTGGTCCATTCTCAATCGGGCCCTTCACACTGACGTCTGGGAACTCAGGGCGGTTTGCCTAGCCTGCCAAGCTTTTCGAATTCACATACAAGGCTGGGCGGTTCAGGTCCTAACGGACAACAACACAGCCACAATCTTCTATATTAACAGGTCATCTGCCCTCTGCCAGGAAGTGCTCCGGCTCTGGGATTTCTGTCTACAGCATGACATCCATCTTGTGGCTGCTCACCTCCCAGGGGCCAGGAACGTTTGGGTGGTCCACCTTAGCAGGGCATTCTCATCTTGCCACAAGTGGTCCCTTCACCCGGAGGTGATCAGTTCTGTCTTCCACAGGTGGGGAACTCCCCAGGTGGACCTATTCGTGTCAAGGCAGAACAGACAATGCCATGTCTTCTGCTCATTCCAGGGCAAGGACAGGATCACTGTCGGACACCTTCCTCATCACATGATCAGGGGCTCTGATGTACACCTTCCCTCCAGTGCCATTGCTGCCAACGGTCCTCATGAAGATCAAGCAGGACAGGGCAGAGGTCATTCTCATAGTGCCGGCATGGCAATGCCAACACTGGTTCAGCACCCTGCTGGACCTTTCGGTGGTGATCCCGTTCTGGATGCTGCTCAGGGTGGACCTGTTGTCCCAGAACCACGGCAGTCTCCTGCCCCTGAACTTGGTGACGCTTCATCTGACTGCTTGGCTGCTGCGTGGCTAAACGCGCAAGAATGGCAGTGCCCGTCCGAGGTCCAGCAACTCCTGTTGGGCAGTAGAAAGCCCTCCACCGGGGCCACCTACCTGGCCAAATGGAAGCGATTCACATGCTTGATGGTGAATAAGGGGGTCTGTCCTGAGCGAGCCCCGTTGCTGCTCATTCTAGACTACCTCCTGCACCTCAGGCTCCAGGGCTTGTTGCTGTCATCCGTCAAAGTCCATCTAGTGGCCATCTTGGCCTTCCACACACCGCTCGAAGGCAGGTCGGTTTTCTCTCAGGATATCATGGCCAGATTCTGTCTGATATTCTGATATCTCAGGATATCAAGGCTGATATTTGACACTTTTAAAAGAGTGAATATTAACTTAGTTATAAAATTATCTTGATCAGACTCTCAAATTACAAGCTTTTCAAATGTTTTCATATACTTTGTCACTTATTTGAACATTGCTCAAACAATATAGTGATAGTTTGGCTCAGGAGAGTATTTTACGGCAAGAAGTAATAAATACAGTGAAGCTAAGGCAGTTTATTAATTCTAATGGAACTTGATTGTAACTTTGTAACTAATTTGTTACTTTAAAATACATGATTTCAACAGTGTTACATCTGAAATTATTCATTAGTATATCTCAGAAATCATTGAAATTGAGTTCCTTTTTTAAGTTAGAGACTTTACATCAGACTAAGTATATGGTTTTTAAGTGTTTATCTTTATTAGCTTCCAGAATGTTCATGTAACTCCATCAGGGCAGTATGTTCCCATGTACTTGTTACAGTCTGTGGTCCTTTATAGGGTTGCCACTTGTCCAGGTTTTCCCCAGGATCATCCCTTTTTTGAGATCACTATCTTGAGAAATTTCTAAGGGTGCTCAGTACACCTGGCCAGCTGTCCAGTTTTATGGGCTCAGGATCATCCCAGATGCCCCCTCTGCGGTACAAAAAGAAAAAAAGAGGGGACAACACTAGCTTTTAAGATTAAGGAGTTGTAGTCTCCAGGCAGGGCATGTGATGGCAAGGGGTCAGTCAGTCAAGCATCATGTGACTACTTGCTGGAGAGTATATAAAGGAAAGTTCTTGGCTTATTCTCAGGAGAACAAGAGTTGAGGAAATACCCTGAGAGAAATCCGAGGGGATTGCCAGGAAGGACTACCAAGAGGGAAGGATGTACCCTTTTGGTGAGAAGTGAGAAGTGGAACAAGCCTCCATTACCCAGTGTCTTGTGTTATTTTGAGACTCTTGTATCTTGTGTTAATTAATAAAACCAGCCCTGAGAAAAGGGACATGGCACTCACTTGAAAGCTTGGGCTTTATTTTGACTAGTCCAGCTGGTGAGTCTGCCCATTGGCTTGCAGTAACTGATAGGAACTTGCTAAAATTTCAGTATCCATAGATGGGTGACAGAGAAAGATAGACTTTCTGATTCAGAAAAGCTGATCTACGATTTCTTATACTGTAATTGTCAATAACTGTATATCCTGTGTTTCATTAAAAAATGTGCTCATTTGTGTCTTCTAGGCAACTAAGAATACAAAAACGAGAAGCTTCTAATATATTGAGGGAATTAAAGTTACAGGTTAATAATACAAAAACTACAAGACTGAACATCAACAGAGACAATATCTGGAGTAGTGCCTTGAAAGGATTCAGAGGGCGAAACTTCAATCCTGCAAACACTATGGAAGTGAAGTTCACAAATTGCAAGAGTAGAGTAGAGACAGATGCTTTCCATGGATCAAAACATGAGTTTTTCCGATTATTAATGCTTCATCTTCAGAACTCATCACTATTTGAGGGCTCTTCCTCAAAGAACTTATCTCTTGATTCTCAAGGTAAATACAGCATAAATTTTATGGTAAAACAGTTCTGTCAAAAGTAATTTTCAGTATAATAGACATCTGAAAAAAAACCAAAATTGTTAATTCTGATAACAAGATAAAATTACCATGAGCCCCACAAAATGGAAGTAGATGTGTACCAAACTAATTTTTTCTTTTACTGTTTTTAAAATGTGAGCTTTGGGGTAAGAATTGGGCAATGAATAAGTTATCTAAGTTTTTTACTGCTTATTTGGTGTGATTGGAATACTTGATAGTAATATTACTATATGGATGTAGACTTACAATCAATTTTGGAACTCTTGATCTCTGGACCTAAAGAAATTGAAACAGGAAACACTCAGTTTACCTTTTCTCAGAAAGGGTACCTTTTCTTCTTTTCATTTTCCCTTCCCTCTATTTCTTCTTATCTCTCCCCTCCACTCCACTGTATTTATTACTTCTCCAGAGCTGCTTGAAGTGCTATTTCCATGCCTCAGAACTGAGCGCTGTGTAAGGTGGAGAGCTCCACTGTGATTGTGATTGGGCTTGGCTTGGCTTGAGGGGCGGAAGGACGGGGCAGTGAGCAAGTTGCTCCTTCACTTGGTCATAACCATGAATTTTTGTCAGTGTTATTGTCTCAGACTTAAGAGTTTGTCTTGTACGCGTATTAATATGAGAGAGTAGTGATAACTGTTGCAGATCATAGTTCATTATTAATTCAAATATACTTTCTTTATTTACAGCTATAAAAGAGAATTTATACTATGAAGCTGGCAAAATGATTGCAGTTTCTTTGGTTCATGGTGGTGTACCTCCCAGTTTCTTTTCCAAAACTCTGTTTAACTGTCTTGCTTATGGACCAGAGAATGTGAAACCAACAGTGGAAGATGTTGCAGATTTTGATGTAGCACAAACAATAAAAATGGTAAATAAAGTGCCCCACCCAGTGGTGTTCTCTTGCTTTGGAGCCTTGAAATGCTAGATTTGAGATTAGACTTTGGGGTAGGCATGTTTTTGGCAAGTATTAAGGAATAGTATATGATTGATCAAATTCAATATATGAGTGTTGTCCTGTTGACAATACATATGCCTCAGCCAAAGGCGTTCAGATACTAAGATGATGGGAGTCATGGAAGTACTTGCTAGGAAGAGATTACTGATTCCAGACTTCTAAATTTTAAATTTATTGATGGAACATATATGAAGCAAACAAATACCTAGTAAATGTTTTATTTCCTACTGTAGATAAAATCATCAAGAACTCTGGCCATCTTAAAATCTACAATAAGTGACCGCTATGAATATCTTACTATTGCTGGATGTTTAAGACCTATGACAACTCTATGTGATAAGGATATGTTGGTGAACGACGTACTGCTCTATCATGTAATTAAGCGAGTTCATTCACCTTTTGAAAGGTTTGTTTGGTTGTGAAAGTTTAAAGTATTCATTTTTACTTATTAAACTATTGAGAAGCATTGAAATTGCTTACGACTAGTGGAATAAGGTACTACTCAATGTGGGAGAAGCTATAGTAATTGTGCATGCAAATTTTGTACACAGTTGCATGTACATTTTTGGGCATGGAATCATGCACACTGAATTCTAAAATTCAGGTCTTGTACTGCATTATACATTTTTCTGAAGTTGTTTTGAATAGCCAAATACAGTTAAAATTATGTTGGATTCCTTCCCACCCATCTCCCCTCCCTTTAAGTTTACTTTAGATTTTAATGTAACTATCACATTTTGTTAAAAATAAAGTTTGAAACATAATCTGTCAGCATATAGTAGAGAATTCAGATCTGTAAACGTGCCAGTCATTATAAACTTCTAATTCCTGTTAGTATCTACAAAGAAGCCAAGAGAAACCACTATAGAGGAAATCAAGGAAGTTCAATATTTAAGAATTTTATACTTTAGTCCTAAATGGACAAAAACCCCAAATTATAAATTTTCTACAACTATTTTTTATAAAATTTAAGATTAACAGATGTCTCCTCAATTTTTGAAAAAAATAAAATAAAATTTTTAAAAACAAACATTCCCCGGGCAGTCAAGGAACCTGAAAATGGCAGATTTCATTGTGTTTTTTATAGTGCAAGCCAAGAGAGATGCAAAAAAAACCCTCTACTTGTAACTGGATTCTCAAAACTGTTACATTTTTAACAATCTAAACTGGTGTTGGTAACAGGTAAACAAAATAAAATTTTAAATGAACACTGTAAATGTAAATAGGCAGGAATCTCATAATTATAGAAAACTTATATGTACCAGCCTTCGGAAAACAAAAGGTATTGTGAAACATTTTATAGCAAAATTAATTCTTTGGAGACTTTCTAATGCCACCTCTTTTTATGATTCCAGCTTTAGGCAAGGTTTGAAAACTCTTGGTGTATTGGAAAAAATACAGATGCATCCTGATGCATTCTCTAGCATATTGTGTCACAAACCCGAGAGACTTTCAGCAAGAATTCTTGGTGATCTCTTTACAATCCACTGTTTATCAGGTGTAAACAAAGTCAAAGGTGTTGATTTCTGGATGGGTTATTTACAAGATGTGGAAGGTAAGTGAACTCTCTTTTTCCTCATTACTTAGTTCAGCTAGCCAAAGGAGTGGTTTTTTTTGGTTCAATCCCTCCTCTGCATCACCACCTTAGATTTCCCTCAATTAACCCAAAGTTTTTTCTTTGCATCTTAGTGAAAACTTTTTCTAATTTAGTTTTGTTTCTAATTGCAAGTATACTCGGGTTATTGATATGCAAAAGGCTGATTCCTTGTTAATTAGTGTTCTTCCCCAAAATGCCTATGTTGGGATAACTTATGAGTAACTGAGAATGACTGTATAACATTAAACTTGTTTCTTTTAGGTGGTGAGTCTGCAGCAACACTGGAAGACATTCTGGTCTTTGCAACTGGTACCAGTTCTATCCCACCCATTGGTTTTGAGCCTGACCCCTCAGTTAAATTTCTGCCTATAAAATACCCTGTTGGAAACAGACAACTTAACTGCGTAGAACTTCCAATAACAAAGACATATGAGCAGTTTAAAAACAAAATGGACTTTGCTATCAGCAGTGCACTAAGACTAGAAGTAGAATAAATTTTTTTTGTTACTAAAGTCGATGTCGCAAATTCAGTTTTTCTGTTTGTGGGATGTTCCTTCTTGTGAGCTGCTATTACATTTCTGAGCATTGATACCCTCTTTTCCCATCTCAGTTTTCCCACACTGGTTTACAAAAATTGCTTTTGTTGTGTGTCCATAATATTGCTCTAGTTTGGAACTTACCAGATAGTTTAAGCCCAAATAGGATTTTTGTAATTGGTCATTTTAAGTTACAAAGCTGTTTTAAAAAGTTGTATTGGTTTAATGCATATGCTCACAAATCAAACTTGTTGGCAAAAAAAATAAATGGACACGTCACTAGATCAATAGGCTAAAAATACATTTAAATTTGGAAAGTCAGTAGTTCGTGTACTTGTGTGCTGAACTTTTGAAGATTATACTACAAGATATAGAAATTAAAATTGATATAAAGACATTTTCAGGCTAAAATTGGGTATGTAATATTTTTAATATCTCTTGAATCGTGTTCTTGTTGAAATCAGATTTTGCCCTTGACTTCAAGGGGAACTGACAGCATAACACTTAAAAACTGCCAATTTTGCTATAGATAAATATGCAAGTTTATAAGTATTTTCAGCACACTGTGCCCTATCAGTAGGTATAGGTAATGCTCTACACATGGAGGTAACATGATTTATCGAAGTCAAAGCAGGCACATTTTTAAGGGTGGTCAACTCTAGATTTTTATAATGTCTTTGAAACAGGCTATTACGTTGTGTCCTTGGAAAAATCAACCACAGTTCAGAACTAAATTTGCTTTCACTCTAAATTTCTTGATTCTTTGGGATTTAAATAAAATCTTTGTCATTTGCACATGGATTTTTATATATCAGTGTTACACTATAAATTGTTATACAGAGTCAAAGGAATAAATAAAATTCAGGAGTAAAAGATCTGAAAGTGTGACTCTAATAAGTGTTTTAAAAACTAAACACGAAATTGTTAGCCTTACAGCTATTTCTACAGTTTATTCCCACTATGCTAGTTAGAACAAGATGTTCACATTTTACTTAAACTGAATTCAGAGTAATTTTGATAATAGCTTGCACCATAATTTCTTATTATCATTTATCCTGATCCTTGTCCCAAAATTCTGTTGCAATCAAGGTCCAGCACTTCCTTTTTATGCCCTTATGCTAAACACCATTTCATTCTCAACTGTTACTGCCTTTTGAACAGCATCAGCTACAGTAGGTACATTTAACAAACTTAATATTTGCAATTCTACAGTAATTATGGTACCATTTGCTTCTCAAAGATACCGCAGTGGCCATGGATATCTGGATCAATTAATGTTTAGTTTTTATTGAGATGCACTGTAGCTCATTCATAATTAAGGTAGTACAGGAAACATTTTGATGTTATTAATTTTAAAGATTTTTTTTAATTTAGAGGGGGATGGAGATGAGTTACTTGATGATGTATCTATACAGAAATCTCCTATTGGAGAGAAATAAGATTGTATACTTTGATTTTTTTACACTTTTGATATTTCTCTTAAAAGCTGTTTTGTTAGTATTCAATTGTAGATTGAGCTTATTCTTATTCGATTGCTCTTTGTTACTTAACTAGATTAATAGGAAAAAATCACAGCTATCTACTCTATATCTCAAACAAAGGCCATCTTATTTATAATTCCACATGGACTCTTAACTATTCAGATTCCTTGAAAGATTAAAAAAATAAAATATTAGCCACTTAGAAGCAAGTTTACTAATAGATTACAGGCAAGATTCACCACTTTGTGTTTAAAGACAAACTAACTAAAACCCAATCCCCCTACATCCTCCTCCCTCCCTCCCCCCCGCCCCCCAAAAAATCCTGCACAAATACTCATATAGTCCAAAGGAACTCTTTGTGGGAAAGAAACTCCTGTTAGTGATGCAATGGATGGATAGATTTTAAAGAAATCTCAGCTAATGCAGTTTTTTCAAACTGACTGGAGATTTTTTTCTTTTTTTTTTTTTTCTTTTTTTAATGATTAGTTGCATGCTTTCTCTATTTTCAGTTACTAAACTGCATTCAGATGTATAAAAATGTATAATACTTCGTAACTCTCTTTAGTTCATGTACACTATTGTAGCTGCCACTGGAATGTTCTGCAAGTATGAATGGAATTTGAGGTGGTCCATGAGACACTCTGTTAAAATTTGGCACATTATGAAAAACTTTGAGAATTCTCAGATTCAGGCTCAGATTGTCTTATTTAAACATTTAAGATAGCTGAAAAGTATTTTAATGACTGGTACAATTTATCTGTTAAGCCATAAAAAAAACTTTTCTCTGGATTTTTGCAACTACTACAGTGCTTTTTTCAAGCATTTCTCCCTGAATTGTCTTTTTCCATTGTTCAAACTACAAACCATATCTGTCAGGAAATGTCTGGAGAGTGTGTAGTTTTTAATTTTACATCTCAGAATCTCTGAAAATGTCTGAAGTATAGACATTTATTTGTATTTTTCCACGCCATTATTTCTTTAACTACTTTGAAAGTAGTCTCCCTTTCTTCAACATTTAAAACGCATAATGAGGTAGGTCAGGATCTTACTCTGGTTGTGGGCCAAAAGGCTGGTAGACTCTCTTTTTGAAACAAAACTGATTGTATCTCCGAGTTCCACTGACTAGTTATTAGAAAATGTTATTCCATTTGTTCTGCTATTGTACACGCAATGTTCTTGATTTTAATTCTCGTGTTTTCTCAAGAAACTGTTCCATGTGTTCTTTCTGTCCATTATTCTGAGGATCTCCGCTCTGGAGATACTTTTTATACTATTGCTTGACTTCAGAAATGTCTACTACCATTATAATGAAGGCCCATGTGCTCTGGTAAGTCTTACCTAACTTTCATGGCAAAGGTTTCTGTTTTCTGTGGTGCTCCACTGCTCAGAATTCTGCAGCAGACTCATATACTTACGTTGAACTAAATGAGAAAATTAATGCAGCAGCTAGTGCAACATTCTTTGTTAATTTGTTGCTTAATTTGAGGTTTCACTTATTTTGTGGTGTGCTGCATATTTTTTTGACTAGAAGCATGTAACTTGTGGATGTAATGTGCGGGAGAGCTGGTGGTTTTGGCAAAAGAACAACTGTTGGGCCTTAGGCACTTCAGAAGGCACAGGAAGAGTAAAATCAATGTTGACATTTAAATGTTAGATTTTGGAGTTGACCTCAAATTGAGATGAATGGAAACAGTACACATCTGACCTTTTTGGGTGCTATTGTTTCAACTTTTCTGCTGATTTAAGACAACAGTTAATTTGTTTATTTCTGGGGAACGTTTAGAAGACTATCTTGACAACTAAAAAAACAAGACATTTTCATTATGGTTTAAATTTAGATTCTGCTGCACAATTGTGTGGCAAAAGGTGGAATCTTTAGAGAATTCTACAACTTTAGAATACTCAGGGCCCTGAATATAGCTTTGAAAGATCTTAACTTCTTTAGTTTTGAAAGTCTCATAGTGGTTTGTGTTCTCATTCCTGGACTATAACTTTGCAAAGTTGGTAAAGAATATCTCCTTTCTTGTAGCATGTGTTTTGCTTCAGTTAGGCATTCTAAACTAAATTAATCCTTGCTGCAACTCCAGTATCATCCTGAGAACTAAAACAGAGATTAATTTGGCCCTTACTGCTTATTTCTCAGCATCTGTCATGGACATAACATTCTTACATTGTTTGTAATTTTCAATGTCATTCCTCCTCATATTCTCAAAATATAAGTAGCTTTACTATATTTAGAAATAAAACTCTTTCATTAGAAAGTTGAGGTGTAGAAATAGTGAGCAACTTATGTTACTATGTCAATCAACTGCTAGAATTAAAATTTTAATGTATATAACACATTAAAATTGAATATGCTCAGGTAATTTTGCCATTTTACAAAAAATAAATATACAATTGAAGCAAAACTAGGAGTTAGGAAAGCTGCTTATTTCAATCTCCAGTATTAACAAGAGTGTTATCTGTTAAACATACAATATAATGGCTTCTTACTACACGATTTGTATAATAAACATACCTTTGATAAGATTCGTGATTAAGATCAGAAGAGGGACCATCATGGTCATCTAGTCTCACCTTCATACACAGGCCATAGAACCTTACCCAGTAACTTCTGTGTCAAGCTCATAACTTCTGTTTGAGGTCTGCCATATTTTGTAAACAATTTATTATTTGTTTTTCATGGAAACTTTATTACAAATAATCTTATATTTTAAAAATCTAGTATTAATCTTGCAGTTTTGAAGTTTGTGGATCTACATTTTTAAAACTAGGAATAGTCAAAGTCAAATAAGATGGCTGAGAGGAAGTCTTGCCAAAAAAATCTGTCTGGTGTCTTTTTTTTTTTTATTAAGTGTTATTAGCTAAATATATTCAGAGTGAGAAGTAACCAACCTTATGTTCTACTTCAGGCTCTACAGCATTAAGTGTAATGCAAATCTTTAACAAACTAGGTTTACAGTTCTTCATTAAATAGCTTCCTTGCACTAGGGTATACATACACAGAGTTTAGTATTTAAAGAGGAGTGTTTAAAATATGCACAGCAGAAAATGGAAAATTGTCATTAATCCAACTCCTCCAATTCTGTGGCTTATACTTTTTTTTAAAGTGCCAGTTGATATAAACTAGTATTTTTTCCTCAAATAGGGAAGCGATAAATTAAATAAACTTCTGAAGCTGCAAAATATATTTTATTTTAGAGTAGCTTTGTTTCACTTTATCAGCTATATAGTAAAGGATTTAAAATTGTGTTATTATGTTATTGGTTTAACATAAGGGAGTTACCAATTCCATAAAAGCAAAATGGGAATCAAAGACTAGTTTATGAAAAGTAGCATGTTATATATTTTGGTTTGCTAAAAGAAAATGAATAGAATATCTGAATTGTGGAAGTATTAATGTTCTCTGGTAAAAAGTGCAGCATTTAGCATTTTATGTAACAAAGCGAATGTTTAGAAAAACTAACATCCGTTATGTATAATAATATGTATTATGGAACTTGCAATTTTGTAAATATTTTGGCTTTGGTTTTTGCCATAGCTGTGGGGTACAATGCCTGAAATCTGTTGCAGCTTCAAGTAACATACTTAACAGCTATAATATGTCAGTGTTGCTCCATGAAGTAAATATATTAATTGTGGGAGACAACTGTCATGTGTATAAAATGTTTGAAGTGCAATAAAGTAACTAATGATTCAGTTATTAAGCAGTTGTATTAAATGTGTATTTTCTTCAAAAGCAGTTGAACTTCATTTTTTCATTTTGAAAATGTCTTGGTTGTGGCATTTATGTAGCATCCATCACATAATAAGTACCATACTAATAGGCACAGGGTGGAATTTCTGAAAGTGCCTAAGGCCTAGATGTTCAAAGGTATTTAGGCACCTAACTCCCATTGAGCACAAGTCCCATTAACTTGCAGTCCTTAAGTCCTGTAGGCTTTTTAATATCCACCCGCATTCCCTGACCTGACCGGGCTATCTTCCTTTGTTATGTCCCTGCATCATTCAGACTCGCTTTCTCCCCATTTCGTCCAGCATGCCATTGATTTTAAATATTCAGTGAACATAAGAACGGCCATACTGGGTCAGACCAAAAGTCCATCTAGCATAGTAGTATACTCTCTTCGGACAGTGGTCAATGCCAGGTGCCTCAGAGAAAATGAACAGAAGTGGTAATCATCAAGTGACACCATCCCTGCCCATCCTGGCTAATAGCCATTGAATACATTTAATTTCATGAATACACTCTAATTAAAAATTAACTACTGTTTAATTAGTAGATCAAAAGCAAAGGTGACAAACCATTCAAGAAATGCATCACCTTGGAGATATCCTTGCTCATCTAACTTAATTTGCATAAAATAGGTTTGACAGAACCATGTATTTGAGTGTTTGAAGCTTTCTTTGTTAGGTGTCAGTTGTGTCCACTGCTAATAGTGTTTTTATAACTGCTCATAAAGTATGTCAGCCCAATTAGACATAGACTTAAGCAACTGTACAATGGACTGACAAGCCATTGCTTAACCAAGGTGATGTTCTAATAAATAGGAAGCAGAATTGTACTTCGTGCATTTGGGTAGGGTTACCATTTTTTAAAATAACAAAAAGAGGACACTCCAAGGGGCCCCGCCCTGCCACAACTCCGCCCCCTACCCTGACCCCACCCAACTCCACCCCTTTCCCAAAGTCTCCGCCCCTCCCCTGAAAGCTCCGCCCCTGCTCTTCCCCTTCCCCTGCTTCCCGCGAATCAAATGTTCGCGGGAAGCCTGAAACAGGGAGGCAGGCAGCAGGTAAGCTAGGGCGGGGGGTCACGAGGAGGCGCAGCCCAGTCCGGCCCCCTGGCCGAGCGGCTCGGGCCCGGCTCAGCTCAGGCACTGGGGCGCCAGCCCCAGTTCCAGCCGAGCGCACCAGCCCCGGCCCGCCCTGGCGGTTCCAGCTCGGCTCGGGTCCTGGGGCACCGGCCCCGGCCGAGCAGCTCCAGCCCTGGCGGCTCCAGCCAGGCTCAGCTTGGGCCCTGGGGCACCAGCCCTGGCCCCGGCGCTTCCAGCTCGGCTCGGGCTCCGGGGACCCAGCCGAGCGGCTCTGGCCCCGGTGGCTCCGGCCCGGCTCGGCTCGGGCCCTGGGGCGAGAGCCCCGGCCCGCCCCGGCGGTTCCAGCTCGGCTCGGGCCCCGGGATACGGGGCACCGGCCCTGGTTCTGGCCGAGCGCGCTGCGGCTCCGGCCCGGCTCAGCTCGGGCCCTGGGGCGCTGGCCCCGGTTCCGGCCGAGCGCCCCAGCCCCGGCGGCTCCAGCTCGGCTCGGACCCCAGGATACGGGCCACCGGCCCTGGTTCCGGCCGAGCGCGCTGGCCCTGGCCGAGCGGCTCCAGCCCGCCCCGGCCCAAGCTGCTCCAGCTCGACTCGGGCCCTGGGGCATGGGCACCGGCCCCAGCGCGGATCCAAGCCCCGTGACCCCTCCCTATTTTCCCGGACATGTCCGGCTTTTTGGAATTTCCCCCCGGACGGGGCTTTGACGACCAAAAAGCCGGACATGTCTGGGAAAATCTGGACGTATGGTAACCCTACATTTGGGGATACCGGGATGACTTACAAAAGAGGGCAGCTAAAGGAGTCTTGCAGACTGCTTTCCTAATACAGCTAGGCTAACAACTAATTTCACAGTAGCTATGGGTGAAATATAAAATGTTAAAAGAGCATTCTTTTTGAAGAATCCAAGATAGGTAGTGTCAAGTATCAGGGGGTAGCTGTGTTAGTCTGTATCTACAAAAACAACAAGGAGTCTGGTGGCACCTTAAAGACTAACAGATTTATTTGGGCATAAGCTTTCGTGGGTAGAAACCTCAATGCGTTCACATAACTTTTCGTTCCTTTCGTCCATGGTGTGTCTTATCCTCTGCGTACGCGCCCATAGGCTATTTTCCCCTATACACGCTATTATTACCCCCTAATTTTACTGCTTCCCCGTAACCGGGATGGAGTATTGGACCCTGGAATTGGTCATTTCTATTCATGGCTTTCACACCGGTTCCTACACAATCCGTCGTTATTCAACAGGCGCAGGCTCTCCGCTCTATGCTAAGGGCAGGTGCGGTTTCTTTTCATTAGAAAAGGGGGCTCCAGGCTAAGAGCCAGGACGGCTTAGAGCGGGGCAGCTCTCCGCGTTAAGGAGGTGAAATAAACAAATCCCCTGCAGTGAAACGAACAGAGCCGCTCCCCGCGCACGCCGGCTGTGGGTCAGCATCGCCAACCTCCTCCCCCGGCTCAGCTCCCGTCTCCACCCCGCCTCCCCGACCAGTGCTCAGGGGCGTGGCCAGGCGGTGAGGGCGGGGCCAGGCGGAGGGTACTGAGGCTCCGCCCCCTCCCGACCTGCCTCCGAGTGCGGCGACGCGCCACGTCGCCCGGCTGGTGCGTCTGCGGAGGTGGGCGGGGCTGGCCGTGAAGATGGCGGCCGGTATCCGGGAGAAGCAGACGGGTGAGGCGCTCTTCCTTCTAGTCCCTGCCGGGCACCAGGAGGCTCGGCCCAAGGCCGTAGCCGTTCCTGTCCGGCGGCGCGAGCAGGGGACTTGCGGCCCCCGGCCGGCCGGTAGCTGTGGCTGTAGGGAGACGTGTAGCGGCCGGTAGCTGTGGCTGGGGGAGCGGGGGATTCACACACTCCTCCCGCGGGGAAAGGGGTGGCAGCGCGGGGCTTGCCACAAGCGGGGCCCGCCCCCAGGTCCGGGCATTACTTGTTTGTAGGTGGGGCTGTGAAGCCTGGCGCCCCCCGGGGGGCCGCTGCCGTGCCAGCTGTGTAACGCTGGTTTCGGGGGGCTCTCGCCTGACCTCGCCCAGGGGCCCCAGCCGCCGCCCCTCTGCTGTCCGCCACCTCCTCAGTTCCTGTTACCCCAGCGCACCACGGAGCTCGGCCTGCCCCTGATCCGCTGTCCCAAGAGTGGCCTCAACTCTGCCGCGGATTGGAGCTCACCTAGGTGGTACTGTTAGTTCCCAGCGAGTACGGTGGCTGGAAATGGTTAAGAATGGGCTTTCCTGGACCGTTAATGTGACAGAAGAAGACTATACTGCAGAGACTTTTCTGAAATGTAAATAAAATCATAATTGCAGAGAGCCAAGAGCACCAAAATCGCCAGGCTTTGGCCTTGCTGTTGCAGACTATGTAGACTAATGAATGGGTGAGATGGCACAAATTATGGGAAAGAAGGTGGTTGGTAGGTTACGTTTGCTGTCTTCTGGAAACAGTTTATCTTTGTTGTGACTGTATGTGACCAGAGCAGACAAAATATGGTTTGATGTCAGAAGAACACATTTTTCTTGCATGAATTTGCTGTTAGGATTAAACAAAAGACATAGGAGGCATGAGAGTCCTGGAAAGTCAAGGAGGTAGAAAACGTGAGTCTTAAAACTAGGATGAACATTAGAGGGAACTACTATTGACAATAGGGCTAATTAATCAACCTTTTCTTAGACATTAATGTCTCTGTGATGTGCACTTCTACACTTTACCCTTGTGCATTTTCCTTTTTTCTGGTCTTAATTCATCAACAAGACTTTTTAGTCAATTTTCATTCTGTAACTTCTCAAAACTGAGCAACAGTAATAATACTGAAGTTTCAATCATTTGTAGTTATTTAACCATATATATAAATGAGGGAAAATCGAATGAGTAATCCAGGTTTGTAGAGCCTTGAGCCATCTGTTGGAAGGTACTGTTAGAACGGGAAGCATGTTGCATCATAATCCTGTTTATTTCTTTTCCTTGCTGGTGATTTCACCAAAACCTTGGTGCATCTTCTGGTCATCTCTCATCTTGACAATTGCAATAGTTGCTTTTCAGGTATCCTGGACTCACATTGGTGTCCTGTGAGTTTATTCAACACGTTTTTTCTAAAATCATCCTCCTTGTTTTCTATGCTAACCATCTCAACCTACTTACTGTAGCCTATACAGGAATTCAAGATCTCCTTCAGTCCTTGTTATTCCCTTTCTGTGCCTTAATCTCTTCTCCTATTTTATCCCTTCAACCAGTACCTACTCTAGTGCAGTTTGATATTCTTTAATTTCCTTAAACTACAAGCAATTCCATCCTTCAATGCTGCTTTATTTAGTTGTCATCCTTGATCCATTTTGCTGTACAACCACCTCCTCCTCCTCCCGCATTTCTCCTCATTACTCATTTATTTCAGTCGGTGTCACTAAACTCCACGTTTTCTTCTGCTCTGGATACAATCCATGAATCCTCATTAATTTCTTGTAAAAATCCAGAGCAACTAAAAAGATGCATCAGAATACACTTTATGAACTTTGAGTGGTGTAATCTTCATCTCCCAGTATCCCTGCCTACTGTTTGATATTTCTCAATGTGGTCAGTCTTAATTTAGATTGTAGACTCCTCAGAGAAGTTACCTGTAACTTATTAATAGGGCCCTACTAAATTCAGGGTCCATTTTGGTCAATATCACGGCTATAGGATTTGAAAATTAGTCAGTTTCATGATTTCAGATGTTTGCAGCCACAGGAGGTTCCCGGAGGTGGGTCTTATTGCCCCCGTGCTGCTGGGAGCACCCTAGCCGGGGTCTCCTAGCTGATAGTCCTGGCCAGGCTGGGGAGGGACAGGACTTATTCTTCCCCTGCATGGCCACTCTCGGGGGGAGGGAGATCAGACCCACCTCCGGGTACCTCCCCCGGCTGCAGGGCACTCCTAGCAGTACAGGGGAGACCAGACCCACATCCAGCAACCTCCTGTGGCTGCAGGAAGCTCCGGGGCTGCTGAGGTAGTAATATTTATTTATTTTTTTATTTTTTCTGTCCACATTTTTGTGGGGCTCCAGCAGAAATGGTAAAAAGAGTGCCTCTGCCCACATAATCTTCAGCATTCTTTTGGTATTTTCAGATTTATTTTAGTATACCCTTGTTGGAATGACACATCACATATTAAAATTTGATTTGTTGCTTGAGTCAGAAATTAAGCATTTTTCAATACATACATGTATTTTAATTCTAAACTTCAGTAATTTATGAATATCTTCTTTCCTTTGACTATCCAATCTTCCATCTTCTAAAATCCACTCACAGTATTTAACTTGCTCATCACCTGTAGAGTGAATTCCAGACTGCATGCTGTGTGAAATATTTCCTTTTTATTAGTTCTAAATTTACCTGCCATAACTTAACAATTACTACTTTTTCTTTAAAGGTGCACACATTCCAGTTGATATGGCTACTTCCACCTTTTCATGTTCTCTGTATATATAATTATCTTCTTTCTGTGTGTTCTATTCTATGCATCCGATGAAGTGGGCTGTAGCCCTTGAAAGCTTATGCTCAAATAAATTTCTTAGTCTCTAAGGTGCGTACTGCTGTTCTTTTTGCACATTCCAGTGTGCTCCCACTTTTCAATATGGCAGTGCCCACCACCTGTTTGTGAATTACTGTAGTCTGCCTTGATTATCTTAAGAAACTTTTTGGCCCTTATGTTTGGTGTTCTTCCTGCTATATAAAATGCTAGAAAGGTAACTTTCCTTGTTAAAAGATGGAAACTTGCTAAGAGATTGGGGAAGCCATAGATCTAATGGACAGAGCTGAGCTGAGTTGTGTGAACCATTCTGGCAGCTGTTCTAATTAACAAAATTCTCATGAGGCTACAATTTGTCCCAGTGATAGGAAGAAGAGATTCTGTCTTCAGGTTTAAAAACTCTTTTTTCATTCTGTCAGCAATAGTTGAACTTCATAAATTCATGTTGAGATCTATTGTTCTTGACTTAACTCAAAGATTATATGGCTGGTGATGGGATACTTGATGGGGAGGTCTCTGAGTTACTACAGAGAATTCTTTCTCAGGTGTCTGGCTGGTCGGTCTTGCCCACATGCTCAGGTTCTAACTGATTGCTATATTTGGGGTTGGGAAGGAAATTTCCCCCAGGTCAGATTGGCAGAGACCCTGGGGTTTTTTTTTTTTTTTTTTTTTGCCTTCCTCTGCAGCATGGGGTACGGGTTACTTCCAGGTTTAAATTAGTGAAAATGGTGGATTCTTTGTAAGTGGAAGTCTTTAAATCATGATTTGAGGACTTCAGTAACTCAGGCTAGGTCTACACTACAGTGGGGGGTCGACCTAAGATACGCAACTTCAGCTACGTGAATAGCGTAGCTGAAGTGGCGTATTTTAGGTCGACTTACCTGGCTGTGAGGACGGCGGCAAGTTGACCGCTGCCGCGCCGCCGTCGACTCCGCTACCGCCTCTTGCCGCGGTGGATTTCCGGAGTCGACGGTAGAGCCATCAGAGATCGATTTTATCTTCACTAGACGCGGTAAGTCGATCCCCGATAGACCGATTGCTACCCGCCGGATCGGCGGGTAGTGAAGACGTACCCTCAGCCAGGAGTGGGTGGGTGAGGTTCTGTGGCCTATAATGTGCATGAGGTCATACTAGATGATCATGATGGTCCCTTCTGACCTTAAAGTCTATGGAAAAAAGGAATAAAAATTGTCGTCTTGCTTTGGACCTTTGGCAAAAACCAATACTGAACTAAATTACAAAAGCATCTTTTGTCCTTGGAAACATATTTGGTCTCAAAGGTTATCAAGGAAAAAAGCAAAACTAACGTAGTAATTATATGTTTTTATCGCACTATTTTTCAGTGGCCTTGAAGCGTATGTTGAATTTTAATCTTCCCCCTATTAAAAACAGCACAGGAGAACCTGTATGGAAGGTAAGAGAAACTACTTGACTTATTCTAAAAGGCATCCTTATAGCATGTCCAAAAGTTTAGATTATCAGATTTTAATCAATTGGAGGTAAAAATCTGGCAACTGTTAGGTAAACATCAGACCAAGTGTTTATGGTATATTTTAGTAGTAACCTGCAATTTCTGACAATTTGTCCGGCTTTGAGAAAATTAACATTTTATAAGCACTTTATCTTTCCATTGGGCTGACGCTTTTTTAATTATTAAAATAGTTTAATTTCTTTACACTTGAAAACAAACCATAGTATTGGCGCAAAAGAGTAGAATTGGGTGTGAGGTAGTAACAAATCATTGAAAGTGTATACGTTTCCTTTTAAAAAGTTTTTGTTTTAATCTAGACACTTGGTTGCGCATAGTTTGATTACTTTCACCAATTATCTTCTGAAAATTTGTCATGAAAAAGTCACCTTTTTCAGGCCAAGTTTCCAGTGACATACATACAACCTAATTATGATGTGATGTATTTAGCCATTGTGCACAGGAAAAACTGAACAACTGTAGCAGACTGTGTAATTCTCTTTAAACAATGCCTAGCCTTTTCTCCTTTGTGTTGTCAATAGTGTTTGTGCTGTTCTTGTACTTAAATTCTTTTACTCTGTAAGGGTTTTTATCCTATGTATTATTCATATGGAGAATCGCACATTCTGGTTGATGGAAAAGATACGTGTTTAAAAGTACAGCATCTTAAAGAAGCAATGCCTAACTGAAGTTCTAGGAAAACCTATTATATATTTTAAGTGAGAACCTGAGAAGAAACTAAGTGGAAGAAACTTAGGGCCTATTGGGGTCCAGTGACAAAGACTCATTTGTGATATGTGGGCAAGCACTGGCAAAAATTCAGAATGAAATAGGTAGAAATGGGAAAGAGAAAGGAATTCAAAGGAAGAAACTGAATTTTTAAAGTAGTAAATCTAGGGCAAGTGGTGCCCAAGATTCCTTCATTACTGTTCTTTCAAGATGGCATTCTGGAATAATTTTAATTCCCCCAAAATGATATTTTCCTTCTCTTCTTCCACTCAGTCCTGTACCATCAGTTTTCTCTTTTTCAGATCAGAGGAGTTGACCTTTTTGCACTTCACAATAATTACTTTTCTGGAAGTAGAGCTTCTTGTTTGACTGACATGAAGCACTGATTCTGGCAAGATTTCTCCATCTTTCTTTTTTGCTCATTTTGTTCTTTTTCTGCTTTATTGTCTCTTAGTAAACAGTAATGATAGGAAGAACTTACAACATTTTAATAAAATTTTCATATTAAGAAATATTTTAACATTTTCATCTTACGTTTTATAGGTTCTCATTTATGACAGATTTGGCCAAGATATCATCTCTCCTTTGCTGTCAGTGAAAGAGCTGAGAGACATGGGCATCACCTTGCATCTGTGAGTACTTTGTGCCTACATTTGTTAGTTATATCTGTTTACTTATACTTCAAACCATGTATCAACAACTCCAGTTGTTTATATTCTGAAAAATCACATACAAAGTCTTTTGAATCAGTACACAAAATCCAAAGGTGCTTTTACAAATTTAACTGAAGATTCTGTTCTTACCCCTGCCCAAAATCCAGTAGGAGTATTGTGGCTAAAGGATGGGTAAAGTTATCAAACTAATCAGAAGAATTTCCTACACAGTGGAAGATGAGGGACTTCCTCTCAAATAAATAAATTAAAATAAAATAACCCAGTATTCTTCTTCAAGTATTTATCCACCTTGATCCCACTATGAGTTTGCATGTTCATGAGAGAGGATTTTTTTTGTCAAGGGCATGGTGAGGATGTATGTGCATCCTATGTGCCCTTGCATTTCCTTCTGGCCCCCATAAAGGGCTGAGTGGGCCCAACCACCTCTCAGTTCCTTCTTATCCTTCAGAGAGACAGAACTTAACAATATCCACCTGCTACCCTGGAGCTCTCAACTGTTAATTTAGGGTTAGTGTTCATCTAGCAAGTAATTTTTTTTATTTTTGAAATAATTGACCATTGTGTGTGTGTGTGGTGATATTGCTGAAATCAAGCTTCATAAGACATAAAGACGAATTCTAGAAAATTGGATGTGCAGGAAGTCATACTAAACATTTTATTTTCTGATGTTCATAGTATTGAGTGAATGGGAAGAGAAGCAACAGTAACTGGAAAGGCAACTTAGTTTTGATTTTCCCTTAGGCTTTTGCATTCTGATCGAGATCCTATTCCAGATGTTCCAGCAGTATACTTTGTAATGCCAACAGAAGAAAATATTGACAGAATGTGCCAGGTAACTACTTTGCACACTTAATGTTTGAAATAGTAGTCTATATCTAATTCATGTGAGTTTATGAATGCACCTTTTCCCAAATTTTAAAATACTGCATGTATTAATCTATATTTGCCACAAAAAGGAATTGTCTTATAAAAAATATTTCTGTATCCAAACTGTAATTTGTGAAGCTGATGTTTCCCAGAACTTTAAGAAAGAGCAATAGCCGGGAGGGGGAATGTAGTTGTGGGAAGAGGGTGATTTGAACATAGGCATCCTTGCTGGTTATGCTCTGTGGTGCAGTCTGTATTTGGGTAGAATAGTAGAGACATACGCATTGTTGAATAGCTTTAGTTTCATTTCCTTGCTTTTGATGTTTTGTGTTAAGTATGTTGTGTCCAGTGTTGGAATTATTATTTATGAATATTAATAATACAGGGCACCACCAGACATTACCACATAAATTCCTTTATTAAGTCCAAAGGCCAGATGATAGTTGTGTGATTGCTTTAAATGTGCCTAAAAACCCCCCTAAATAATAAGCAATGTACTACACCCAATACAGTAACACACATCTGTAAGCATCTGATCAATTATAGTCACAGATGGACCAAACCAGAGAATAGTCCTTTCATCCTGATTTGTTCCAGCATGATTGGAGTGGTTCTGATGATGAACCTTCAGATTCATGGCTCTTTATACACTTCAGCTAACTTGCTAGTTTGAGCAAAAACCTGTTTGAAGCAGTTTATCATTGGTGCTGTCCTTCCTCCAAAGCCTTCCTTTCTTACCTCCTCCCCTTCCTTGCTTACCTGCAGAACAATGGGAAAGTTTGTGCTTGCTTCTTTTAAGACAGTTTTTCTTTGTCTTGTTACTGCAGCCTTTTGTTTTATTAATTACTTTTTGAACCATGCATTCTTCGCACATTACATTCTGGTCTTATAACTTCTTATTCTCACCATCTTCCTTTATTTGATGATTAGGGCCTTTTCCTACAAACCAGCAAATATATTATTTTCTTAACCAAACTTAAGATAACTTTACTTCTTTAATTTCCTAACTATCCCTGCATCTTGCAACCTCAGTTAATATGCAATACAATGTTTTTCTGTATCAACAGTCCTCTACGCACACCAGAATAATTTAATTTCAATGATAACTAGAACAATAGATAATAAAAATTCTCAGATTTTTAAGAAGTATCTTCATTTTTAGCTAGATGTTCTTTAGTACCTATTGAGAGTAAAAGCTATTAATTTTTGCTTTCAGGATCTTCGAAATCAGCTTTATGAATCGTATTATTTAAATTTTATTTCTGCCATTTCAAGAAGCAAACTGGAAGATATTGCAAATGCTGCCTTAGGGGCTAGTGCAGTAACACAAGTAGCGAAGGTAAGAAATTTCTGAAGGCTATGATATTAAAGGTCCTTCACTTTTAAAAACTGCATTTTTTAATGTTTCACAAAGCATTTAACATTAAAATAGTAATGAAATATAAATGTTCATTTCATTTGGTCTGACCTAATGCCATATATCCTTTTAGCTTCATTTTTCTGCTCCCAAAGTGACATAAATAACTTGTGATTGCAATCTTTGTTGGAAACAGAGAATGTACAACTGGAATGGACAGACAATCCATGCACAAGTTATATTTAAAATTATCTGCTAAATTATAAAAAAGGAGGAAACTTAGAGTAAAGATTGACGTAAAGCAAACATATCAAAGTTGTATATTTCTGAATAACTCTTTTCATATTTCAGATCACATTATTCACTTTCTCTCCTTATTTTTATAGTTTACAGTTGGGGAGAGAGGAGCAGTTACCAAATTTTTAATTCAACTCAAATAAGAACTACTAGTTAAACTTTAATAGCCACATCCTCAGTTTGTGTAAATTGGTATATCTACGTTGGCTTCAGAGCTCAGACATCTGTTTCCTCCCTTTAATGCGTTACCTAGATATTTGTATTTTCCATTATTATTTTTCTGAACATAGGAATAAACAAAAAGTGTATTACAGCAAGCTCATGATAGGTTTAGGGCTATTTATTTATGAAATTATTTCATCATTTTGTGAAGATGAACATCTTTCAGTGCAGCCAGATTGAGTGCCATGCACCTCAACAAAAGGAAAAGCCAAATTTTTATAGCTTTTTATTAGTAGATTAGTGCCCTAGAAACATTTAATATTTGTTTATTCTTAATAGTTTTGAACAGCACCCGCTAAGATATTTCAGCTGTAGTTGTATCTTATTCAGTTTCTTTATTTGAATGTCAGACCTTATAAATTATGCTGTAGTTATAGATAGAAAGCTGGTATTGTTCAGGTTCAGATTAAAGCTATAACAAGTCATGAATATACGTTTAAGACAAGACAGCTTCACACTTTATTCACAGCATATTGTAATGATTATCATCATTAAGGCTAAGATTTTGTTACGGATATTTTTAGTCAAAGTCGTGGACAGGTCACGGGCAATAGTGAAAAATTCACAGAAGCCTGTGACCTGTCCCTGACTTTGATTAAAAATATCCGTAACAAAATGGGGAGCCTGGGCAGCTGCGCGTGGCTGGGAGCTCTAAGGGCCCCCACCACCTGTGGGGGCTTGGAGCTCCAGAGTCCCCCTCTGCTGGGGGCTTTGAGCTGTGGTGGCCCACAGCTGTGGGGGTTCCCCCTGCTGCCAGCAGCGGCCAGGAGCTCTGGGATCCCCCTTCAGCTGCCCAGGGTGGCCGGGAGCGGCGGGGGGTCAGTGGCTGGGGATCCTGCAGCTCCCAGCCAGCACTGACTCAAATCATGGAGGTCTTTGGAAGTCATGGATTCCGTGGATTCCATGACTAAATTGCAGCCTTAGTCATAAGAACTGCCATTCTGGGTCAGACCAATGGTCCATCTAGCCCAGTATCCGGTCTCTGATAGTTGCCAGTACCAGAACTTCAGAGGAGTGTACAGAACAGGGCAGTTGGAGTGATCCACCTGTCTTCCCCTCCTTGCTTGTCAAAGATTTAGGGTCATCCTAAGCATAGGGTTGCATCCCTGACTATCTTGGCTAATAGCCATTGGTGGAACTAAACTCCATGAAGTTATCTAATTCTTTTTTTGTCCCTTAATTTGTAGGTCTTTGATCAGTATCTCAATTTCATTACTTTGGAAGATGATATGTTTGTATTGTGTAATCAAAATAAGGAGCTCATCTCATATCGTGGTAGGTAAAATTTCATTTGTATAACATTTGTTACCATTGAATAGTTAAAATGTAAGCTTACTCTGAAGTCAAAACAATATCTAATAATGATCTCAAATGAGTTCTGTTCTGTAACTGAGGATTTCCAATTTAGCAGATATATAAATCTAAAATCTTTATCTGTTTTAAGGCCAAAAGAGATGTCTATGATGAGTTAATCTGACTTCACAAGAATTAACTAGAAGTGGGGTTCAAAACTGTTCAGATACATGTTAATAGGATCTTAAATCCAGCAAGCTCCCTCCAACTGAGCCCTGTCCTGTCTTCTTCTCCCCCCCTCCCTCCCCCTCCCCTCCCGCCACTCTGTGGAAATGGGGTAAAGGACTAGGGGGAGGAGGGAGCAGCTCCAAGGCAGAGGGCAGGAGCAGCATGTGGCAGTGGGGGGAGGGACAGCTGAACTGCCTGGCAATTGATAGCCTGCTGGGCGGCTGCCGCACAGGGAACTTAGGGGAGCTGATAGGGGGGTTGTCCATCCCCCCTGGTTCCAAGCCCCCACCAGGTAGCTCCAACGGGCTGCTCTTCCTGCAAGCAGTGGACAAAGCAGGTGGCTGCCAAACAACGTTATCAGGGAGCATTGCACAACTTTAAATGAGCACATTCTCTAATTGATCAGCAACGAAACAACGTTAACTGGGACGACTTTAAGTGAGGAGTTACTGTATATGTTTTTTTAGTGGCAGAAGAGAATTGTCTTAAATGTAGACATTTTTTAAGAATATTGAACATTTCTAAAAAAAAATCTACTACAGAGGTTTTCTGTATAGGTTTGTATACACTCACAGGGCTTATTTACACATGGAGTTATTCAGGAACAGGTATTCTTGAATAACTCCTTGTATAGACACTCTTATTCCAGAATCCAGTGAGTTGGAACCAGCTTAGAAATTGGCTAACAAGTCAGTTTTTAGAGTCACTCTTCATTAGTTTTGTGCATGTGTGCGTGCTGCATATTTATTCAAGTATTAGTCATGGAGAACATAACTTCTTGAACAGAAGCACCTAAAAGTCTGAGGTGCAGATGTTTGATCCTTGCTTTTTTCCTTGTACCAGCGATCTATTAAGGTGGCTGGAAGATCAGAGAGAGGATAGTTTTCTAATTATGACAGGAGTCCTTTGGGTCGTCTAAGCAATGACCAGTCATTACATACTTTTTCCCCTATCAACTTGTTAGAATGGGTCCACCCAATTTTTTGCTTGATTTCTAAACAAATACGTTTTTCAAAATTCAAATGCTGTAATATTCTGTAGATTTCTATTAAGATATTATGAACATAGAGCAGGGTTCCCAAACTTGGTTCGCGGCTTGTTCAGGGTAAGCCCCTGGCGGGCCGCGAGACTCTGTTTACCTGAGCATCCGCAGGTATGGCCGCTCGCAGCTCCCAGTGGCTGCGGTTTGCCATTTCCAGCCATTGGGAGCTGCGGGAAACGGCGTGAGCCGGGCCACCGCTTCCCGCAGCTCCCATTGGCCGGGAACGGCAAATCGCGGCCACTGGGAGCTGCAAGCAGCCGTACCTGCGGACGCTCAGGTAAACAAAGCATCTCGCAGCCCACCAGGGGCTTTCCCTGAACAAGCCACGAACCAAGTTTGGGAACCCCTGAAATAGAGTAAACTAACTTCACAATCTTTTCCTGCCCCACCAAAAAAAAAGAAAATGTACACATAACCAGCTTAGGTTTGTTGTGCAAAATAATGATTGTTACCACAGTGTCCTAAATAAATAGAAGTTGGTAGTCAGGCTTGTCTAATAGACTGTTTATATTAGAACCAGAAATATTAGTTAAAGATAAAATGTATTACTGCTACAGTAGAGCAGCTAGAGGGAAGGTTTGTGTGTGTATCTCCCTATCTATATTATAAAATACTTTGGAATGATCCCTGGATCAGAAAATTGGCATGCAGATTGTCATTGATAGCAAAATGTTTTTTAAACCATTAATGGAGTAATTATTATATATATTACAGACCATTGAGTTTGGAACTTTCTTAATATATAAAATAACATTGTAATATCTGTACAGATACAGAATTTGTATTCTCTAGATAGCACAGTGTCTTCCACCTCAGGAAACTGGTTTCCAAGTGGACGTTAGTCCAAAATCACCACACACATTGTCTTGATTCTCTGTCTCCGCCCATAGCTGCGGTAGTAATAGGGTCAGGTCAGGGTTGACATGTATTGTAAGAGATGTGGAGGAAGATTGCACAACATTGGTTTTGATCTAACCAGTAAAACTAATTTCTTCATTTTTCCATTATTCGTGACTTTAAAAAATTAATTGGGAGCAGGAGTGGAAGCATTAAGTGGGGCCTTCATCACAGCTTTTTTACTTGGTCACTTCTTCAGTGTTGATGACTAAGAGTCACTGTTTGGCTGCCGTAGGAGATTTCCTCACTGAGAGTATTGTGTATTGTAGAGATTGCTTTAGACTGCAACTCCACTTTTTTTTCTTTATTTTACAATGTTTTAGCCATTAACAGACCAGATATAACGGACACTGAAATGGAGGCCATTATGGACACTGTGGTTGACAGTCTCTTCTGCTTTTTTGTTACACTTGGTAAGTTTACAAGTTCCAGTATATTTCTCAGTGCACTGTCCCTTCTAAGAGATCTACATTTTCAATTACATATTGTAAGTCTCTAAACTTCCACATATGCAGCCTGAGAGAGGAAGTAGGGTCAATGCAAGACACCTGGATTCTGTTTGATATGAAAGTTTTGGCCAGTCACTCGACCTGTGTGTTGCTCTGAAAACACTGTTGAATAGGCAGTAATTCCTACCTCATATAAGAGCGGAGTCACAGGCTAGGTCTACACTACAGCGGGGGTTCGACCTAAGATATGCAACTTCAGCTACGTGAATACCGTAGCTGAAGTTGCGTATTTTAGGTCGACTTACCTGGCTGTGAGGACGGGGGAAAGTCGACTGCTGCCGCGCTGCCGTCGACTCCGCTGCCGCCTCTTGCCGCGGTGGATTTCCGGAGTCGACGGCAGAGCGATCAGGGATCGATTTTTATCGTGTCTTCACTAGACGCGATAAGTCGATCCCAGAAAATCGATTGCCTGCCGCCGGACCCTCCGGTAAGTGTAGATGTACCCTTAACGTCTGAAAAATTTTGCTTTGAGATTCTTGGATGAAAGATGCTGTAGGAAAGGAAGTGCAAGGTGTTAGTTTAATATTTTTCACTGAAAACTGGATATTCTTTGAACTCAATCTCATAATTCACAACAACCTTTACCTTATTATTTTAGTCATGTCCTACACAGAGTTTGCGATTGTGAAGGTTATTGAAGAGGCTTTCCTAGACTACTGTAGATTTTTTTTTGAGCTATTTCTAAACCGCTCTGTTTGTCATAGTCATGACATCTGTGACACAAACCATGACTTTTAAGGTGGGTTTTTCAGAAGTGCTTATTGTTGGCATAAATCTTCTGGTGTTTAAGTCATCGGTAAAAATGCCCCTGCTTCAGTACTTCGTGCTGGAAACTGCTTAATTAGGAACAGAGCTGGGCGAATGCTGAACAATTTTGAAATTCCCACCCTTAATATTTTTCATAAAAGTTCATGGTCAGTAACACCATAACTAGCTTGGTCATGGAGTGTTTTTAATTTTATGAAAATATTAGTTAAATATTTTAAATAATTCATATTGTAAAATAAAGGATATGTTCCATGACGTCTCCTTTTCTTACGATAAAATTACTGTCATTTTTTGCCATGACAAACAACCAATCTTGATGACAACCAGCAAAATAAAATCTCTTATTCTTAGATTTTGAGAGATTGTCAGGGTTTTTGCTAATAAACAGAAGTTTTGTTAAATAGCATACAAGGTATTATCAATGTTTGTCATTAATGGCTGGATAACTGTCGAAGAAATTATTGAAAGGTGTACGTGTCCATTTTAATAACAACTCAGTGAGTAAAGTTTAACATGCTTAAAATTATAAATACTGAAGTGCTAAATTGACAGCTTTCAGATTTACTTCCCTTTTCACTGCCTAAAATTGTAACTTCTTGAGGAGGAGAGTTTAGCATCCCGTAGGGCGCTCAGAAATTAGAAGGATCCTTTGAACCTGTTGAATGCCTTAGTTTCTGTGGCAAGAAGTAAAGTGTATCTACGAAGCCCCTTGAATGTTCAGCGTTTCAACTTACATGTATTTAAAAATTCACTATGTGACAAGTGAAGCCTGAAATTCCAATGGAAAAATTTATTATTCCCCTGCATTGAGTTGCAACCCAGATCTTGCAGTATTGTGGTAATGGAAGAGACCCTATCAAAAGCAAAAATAACTAAGCAAATTTAATCTATTTGATTGTCTAATCAGAGAGAAATGAAAAAGTAAATAAACAGCATAAATAATGTAAATTAGATTTTAAAATTTCATAAGTTTTAATTAGGGCTGTAGGTTAATCGCAGTTAACTCGCACGATTAACTGAAAAAAATTGTGATTAATCGCACTGTTAAACAATAGAATACCAATTGAAATTTATTATATTTTTGGATGTTTTTCTACATTTTCAAATACGTTGATTTCAATTACAACACAGAATACAAAGTGTATAGTGCTCACTTTCGATTATTATTATTTTTATTACAAATATTTGCACTGTAAAAGTGATAGACATAGTATTTATCAATTCACCTCAGACAAGTAATGTAGTGCAATCTCTTTATCATGAAAGTGCAACTTACAAATGTAGATTTTGTTTTGTTATGTAACTGTTTTGTTTTTTGAGTGCAATGTAAAACTTCCGAGCCTACAAGTCCATTCAGTCCTAATTCTTGTTCAGCCAATCGCTAAGACAAATAAGTTTGTTTACATTTACGGGACATAATGCTGCTCGCTTCTTATTTACAATGTCACCTGAAAGTGAGAACAGCCATTCGTATGGCACTTTTGTAGCCGCCTTTGGAAGGTATTTAAGTGTCAGGTATGCTAAACATTCGTATGCCCCTTCGTGCTTCGGCCACCATTCCAGAGGACATGCTTCTATGCTGATGATGCTTGTTAAAAAAATTAATGCGTTAATTAAATTTGTGACTGAACTCATTGGGGGAGAATTGTATGTCTCCTGCTCTGTTTTACCCACATTCTGCCGTATATTTAATGTTATAGCAATCTCGGATGATGACCCAGCATGTGGTGTTCGTTTTAAGAACACTTTCACTGCAGATTTGACAAAACTCAAAGAAGGTACCAATGTGAGATTTCTAAAGATAGCTACAGCACTTGATCCAAGGTTTAAGAAGCTGAGAGGGATGAGGTGTGGAGCATGTTTTCAGAAGTCTTAAAAGAGAACACTCCTATGCGGAAACTACAAAACTGAACCACCAAAAAAGAAAATCAACCTTCTGTTGGTGTCATCTGACTCAGATGATGAAAATGAATATGCATCGGTCCGCACTGCTTTGGATCGCTATTGAGCAGAACCCATCATCGGCATGGACGCATGTCCTCTGAAAGGGTGGTTGAAGCATGAAGGGACATATGAATCTTTAATGCATCTGGCACATAAATATCTTGTGATGCCGGCTACAACAGTGCCATGGAAACACCTATTGTCACTTTCAGGTGACATTGTAAACGAGAAGCAAGCAGCATTATCTCCTACAAATGTAGGCAAACTTCTTTGAGCGATTGGCTGAACAAGAAGTAGGATGGAGTGGACTTGTAGGCTTTAAAGTTTTACAATGTTTTATTTTTGAGTGCAGTTATATTTTTGTACATAATTCTACATTTGTAAGTTCAACTTTTATGTTAAAGAGATTGCACTACATTATTTGTATTAGATAAATTGAAAAATACCATTTCTTTTGTTTTTTACTGTGCAAATATTTGTAATAAAAAATAATATAAAGTGAACACTGTACACTTTGTATTCTGTGTAGTAATCGAAATCAGTATATTTGAAAATGTATAAAACATCCAAAAACATTTATATAAATGGTATTCTATTATTCTTTAACAGTGTGATTAATCACGCAATTAATTTTTTTAATAGTTTGACAACCCTACTTTTAATACCCGCATGTGGGATAGGTAAGAGAACTGGTTTTTTGAATATTTTAGCTGGCAATCCCTGTAACTCTCAATGTACTGCTAATATATATTTATAACATGATTTTAAGTATTTATCATTCTTACTGAGTTTTTATAATACTTTGTTTAAATGTATTGATATAAACCATTTTTTGTGATCTCATAGATAATGACTACTAGAGCCATACTTTATATACAGTTTAGACAGCGTGTTTTGAAAATTTGGCACCCCAAATCAGTTGCTTTAAAAAATAAAAACCACAGCTTTGCAGTATAATTATTTATGACCTGGAAATTATAATGTATCTTTTAATAGGAGCTATTCCTATAATCAGATGCTCAAGAGGAACTGCAGCAGAAATGGTGGCAGTGGTAAGAGTTTTAAACACTATTTAAATACAATGATTGTTTCAAATAAATCTCCTAATAGCATTTTATTTTTTATTTTTTACAACCCTGAACATTTAACATCTAACATCAAAGAGGAAATCTGAAAGAAAATGTCCAGGTTCTCGTTCCTGATATTGCTTCCACTGAGCCTCATTGTAGAAGTTGTGTGACTAGTCACACAAACACAGAATCTTTTGAAAGCAGGCTCTGATGGGTGGAGGTACACATGTCTCTCCAGCCCAAACAGTCCCTCATCTTTTCCTTTTCCACTAGACATAGCACCCTAGGCACGTATTCCTGCCTGCTGTGTCAGATGGTAGTTAGACTTGTGTAAATAATTGTAGATGTACTTTTTAGTTAATGGTTGTAGTTTTTAATGTGCTTGTTTGGATCTCCGGATCCCATCAGAATTTGTGCAATGATCATAGAGTGAAGTATTTTGGGGTATGTAGATTGGGAATGAGCTAATAGTAAGCAAAGGTAATTGGAGAATGAGTACAGTAGATGATTGCTTTGTTGATAAATATTTAGAGAGAGCCTCCTTCACTTAGAAGATTTGTCCCTTTAAGCTGATAAAACTTTAATTTCAGCTACAGTTATCCTTATCTAAATATGCCTTATATGACCTAATTAGACACATTATTATAAATAATGTTAAAATTATGTAGGTAAAATATTTTATCTGTATTTGGCTTGTGAAAAGTCTATGGAGAACTAATGACTAAAACAGCCTTTCAAAATCCAGCTAAGACAGGGCAATAGGAATCTTTCCCATGTGAATGGAAATAATAGCAGCTTCAACCTTAAAATATGACTGACCCAAATGTGCCAATGCAGCAGATGCTGGCATGGTGAGAACTGTTGTGGTATGCTGTCAGACCTATAGGATTCACTCTTCCTTAGTTTGACAACAGTGAGTGATGAAGCAGCTGCAATGACCTATGCTGAATTCTTTGGGCTTCCCATACCCTGAACATATAGAGAAAATGAACGGATCTTTTAGACTCTCCTTTCCTTTGGCCAGACCTTTTCCCTCATTACCTCCTTGACAGCTGAAGCCACCTCTGCAAGCCTGCTCCTGGAGCTGGCCCCAGATATCTGATGCCTCACTGCAGCAGTCTTCCCCTCAGGTCTACAAATGGGAACCTAGGTTACTTGGCTGCTTATATCTGTCTCCTCCTTGTAAAAACAAAAAAATCAATGGGGGGTAGGGAGGGAGAAAAGGAGAGATCCAAATAACTCCCAAAACAACAAAGGGAGCGTTGTAGAACTTCTGACTCCAGCTTGGAGACTGCCGGAAAGACTTTAAAACAAAACAAAACACTGTTGTTTTTAGTTACTTAGTCGATAGCACATCTGAAATGTTTCACAAGACTACAGCTTCAATTTTTTACCTCTTTAATGACATCAGATTAGAGATGTGATTTTTTTTTTCATAGACTATAAAATTAAATGGTAACTGAACTAGTTTTGTTTGCAAGATCCTAGAGAGAGTGATAGTAGATCCTTATACTCAGGCTGCTTAACATTTTCCGTTATAAAATATTCTTGTGATCTTATCAAAGAAAAGGTCTTGCACCTCCGTTATTTACAGCAGCAGACCTTTGATATTTGGCAAGGGGAAACAACCCTCAGACTAGAGAAGTGCCTCTTCTTTGTCCTATGAATTCCATTCAGCTATTTTTGAGAGAGAAACTTTAAGATCATCATTTCCCTTCTCTCACTTCCAGTCCTTAGGAAAACTTTTGGCAGAATGCCAAAACAATAACAATGTAAACAAAGTAGCAGATTGTAGTGGGAACACCTGCCATTTGAAAGCTGGGAAATGCCATATTTACAATTATCCGTGCAAACTTAATTCTTCTTGTGCATCTACATTATGATAGTCTTTAATTACATAATTACGTATTTTAATTACAAAAATAGTCCATTTTTCCCACAGGACCCTTGCCTCATTCCGTGCACAAGTTGGACGCAAAGGAGACAGAATTCAGTTTGCATGAGTAACCATAAATCCAGCATTATCTATCTTTCAAGTACTTGACTTTGAAACTTGCATGACTCTCTTCACTTTTTTTTAAACTAACTAATGTGTGCTTAGAGAGAGAGAGAGAGAGAGAGACACCCCTAAAGATGGACTTGGATTGTCTGGAAAATCAGGAATTTGCCCAGAACTGTCAAGGTAGCAATATGGCAAGTAAGAGAAACTGTGTCCAAAGTAAGTTAGTGTGACTTAAACAGTAGTATGAGAATTTGGAAAATTGTTGTCTTGACATCAGCAAAAGCTCATCTGTCTTAAACTTTGTCCATTGTACAAACTGGTTCAGAGAATCGCTAACCTCACCGGTGTGTAAAAAGATGCTTTACATTTTTTAGAAACTAGATAAGAAACTCCGAGAGAACCTAAGAGATGCCAGAAACAGTCTTTTCACAGGTGACACGCTTGGGGCTGGACAATTCAGGTAGTGTACTACAGTTATTTTGCATTATTTTTATATATTTATTGCAGTAACACTAAAAGGCCCCATTTGGCTTGGGACTCTTGAGCTAGACATTGTACCGACACGTGCAAAGACATGGTTCATGCCTGAGAGTAACTTGCTTTTATGAAGTCTTCATAAATATTAAGGAAAATAAATGTTAGTTCATATTAATAGAACAAAAACCCCATCAGATTAAATACTATGGGTAAACAGAATGTAGCCCCTAGATCCTGAGCTAAAAATGTTCATGTAATTAAAGAAGACCAACATTTCATTCAACTGTAGACCCAGAAAGATCCAGTATACTGCAAAAATATCTACTACAGTAACTCCCCACTTAACATCCTCTTGCTTAACGTTGTTTCGATCTTACGTCCCTGCTCAGTTACAGAACATGCTCCATTTAAAGTTGTGCAATGCTTTGCTGTAACGTCGTTTGGCTGCCTGCTTTGTCCAGGAGTTGGGGGGGGGGTGAGAAGAGGCAGGTTAAGGGTAAGGGTGGGCCAAGGGTTGAGCCTCCCTGCCTCGGTGCTTGCAGAGTAGGGGAAGCTGCCACTGCTGCTGCGCAACCAGGGCCGGCTCTGGCTTTTTTGCCGCCCCAAGCAAAAAACACCCCGCCGGCAGCAAGTGGGGGAGGGGAGGAAGAAAACAAACCTGC